GTAATGAGTCACGCATATATGTCCGCAGCTTCTAAGCAATTTTTCACGTACTCCGTCACAACTTTTCTCCAATGCACAATTTTCCGAAATGTTAGGTGAACCAAGCGTGTTTTCTCTTATGGATGCCAGTTAGCGATGTCCAATGTAGATAAGCTATAAATAAAAAAGGCATTTTGTCTCATCAATGAGTTTTATTTTTTATTGCGACCATGAAATGTCGCTTATTCAACGATGGGCTTGAAAATAATCTCTGTACGTCACAGAAGGCATATGAATCGAATTTTGTTATGCAGCGACGAATGACGCATTTTAAAGCAATTCTATGCTAACAACTCTGAAATCGCAAACTTTTGGGTTTATATTCTCAAAAAGTTAACGAGTAGTTTTGGTGTGCAAAGTAATATTAGAAATTATTTACAGGAATAAGGAAATAATAACATTAAAAGAACTGGCGCATTTTAAAGTAATTCTATGCTAACAAATTTGAAATTGCAAACTTTTGGGTAAATAATTAAAGAAATAACTGTTTTTATGTCGATTCAAATTGTGCTGAATAGCTGTAATAATTTTTTGCATAGTTTTTGTTAGCAGGAATGGGAGTAATGAAAAGATTTATCGAGAAAAACATCCTCAGAAGTTGTCCTGAATTCGGTTCTTGGGAAACTGACTTGGATATTTCTAAATGCATTTGTAAATCTTGATAACACCTGTCATATGGATTTCGTATTGTATGACTTATTTGTTGGTTAGATGGATTTCTGTGATCTTTATAAAATTTGTGTAGAAATCGTTCTCTTTTCTTCTTTTTCTTGCACACTATTTAAACAAATTACCAGAAATTTGTAATAACAGTGAATTCATTGAAAAACTTGAAATCTTGTGAGAAGGATACCTTAAATTAAGAAAATAAATGAAAGAAAATTATCATAGAATATAGTTCATTGTTTATTTACTCTGTCCATGTTGTTTACCATCATTCTGATTGCTAGGATATCATCCATTAGATCAATTTCAACCAATCAATAAAAGCGATGAAGGAACACAGTCAATGAATTATCGTCACCTTCGATAAAATAAATAAGAACATCCAAGCTTTTTTGCATTTCATATCTCAGATATATTGTAGGTTTATCATAATTTGAAAGTTCTGTTTGTCTTTAACACATGTTTTGCTCCACTCTAAATGGACGGATGATTTTATAGGGACATCATTGATGTCAACAGTGGACAGATTGTTGAATGTGAGTGCAGCAATTATGATACAATGAATGGAAATTCGAGTGATTTTATTGAGATATCAATCTCTAAAATACTTTACAGTGAAGTAATTTTATTAATTTGCTCTGTCGAGGTCTAACCAATATTATTTCGACCCGTCAATTTCACTATTTAAATTGCAAAACCTAGAAGCATTCTTTTTTAAATTGCAGTGCAATAAATGTTTTTTTTTTTTTTTTTTAAATTGAAGTGAATAGAAAATTCAATATTAATGAAGATAAATAATAAAGGTTGTGACGAGGAATATAAAGAAAATTTGATCATCAAGCAGCATTAAAGTAAATTTTATTCAAATCTTCACTAACGTATTACTAAGTAGCAATAGACAAAGATATTGATCGACTTTTATTATGTAAACTTCATTCAGTATTAGTGAATTTTTATTTAGATTTATAAAATTTTGCAAGTGCATTTGATGTGTTGACTTCTGTTATAATTTACTAACATTTTTTTTTTTTACTAATTTTTTTTTATGTCCTGTTTTTTTGAAATTCCACCAACTTTCATCTTGCTGCCACTGGATTTGCTACATTGAAAACATCAAGCGCAACAGCAAGCTATGCTGCATTTTAAGTCGGAGCATTTTTACAATTTGATATTTAAAATCAAATTGGTGGAATTATGGATGAAATATCGGTGTTATCTTCATTATAGATTAATGGTGATAGCTTTATCATAGGTGGAGAATTGTTGTTTTCCTCAAGTTAATGTCTCATAATTCACAGACTTTGTTGTTTCTGTGTACTATATTAGCATACTTTTTGGAAACAAGGAACGATTATTGCTTGTGTTGCATTAAAATTTAACTGATTAAATTTTGTAATTTGTTTATTTAATCTAAATTTATTGTAGATGTCAATGCATCGATTTTAATTCAATTTTTCAATTTTAAATCATTTTCTATTTAATTTTATAAGGACACTCATTAATAAATAATCATTGCTATTTTCATTCACAACAATTAAATTCAACAAACATTGACAGAGCGTTGTGATTTCCTGTCAAACACTTTGCTTCGAGAATAAAATGAACTAAGCAAATGGAAATATTTACAAATGGAAGTATTTTAGCCAAACTTTTTTTTGCAGTGAATAGTTTTTGAATTAATGGAATGAACATACTTCCATTTCTCAAGGCAACACCAACAGAAATGCCTGTCAATTTTAAATTATCAAATTAATTCTTACATTCATTTTGTTCGAAATAATAAATAATCTCTTGGTATTAATAAAACAAAGAAATCAGATCAACAAAATGAGTTGATAATTTCAAATTCTTCAAATAGCAGCAATCAATTCTTCATCTCCTGTATAACTCAATATAATTTGCAATAGAAAATGTATTGACAAAACTGAAAATGCATGAATAAGTGCAAGATGAGAGTGCATCATGCAGTCAGCTTTCAGCATGCATTGAAAGTGCACGAAAGTATATAAAATATTTTTCCTTTATCTCTCTGATTATCACTAATTAGTAACATGTTTATTACTGACATCTTTTTCATGTTAAGATTGAAGAGAAGTTTGGGTAACACTTCCAAATCTTTTTTGCTTGTTTGACAAACATACTTGTTGTTTGCAGTGACAGGCTGAAATGTGACACTTATGTGTTATTTTATTTTTTGGGAAATCGCTTTGTTTAAGGCGACAGCATATATCAACATTAAAAATATTGTATTCACGAATTTTTAAATTTTATCATTTCAAAGTTATTGTAAAGTGAAATTTTGATAGATTCATAGGAATGTGGACTGATTATATCTGATGAAAATGTAATCTTAAGAAAAATAAGTTCAAATAAGTCCAAAAATAGTTTATTGATACTAATGAATTTTAGTTCCTGTTGAATAATTCATAAATTATTGTAAATAAATATTCAATGATTCATTGTACAAGAAGGAAAAAAAAAAAGCTTAGATGGTATTCAGTCCTCCTGCTTAACTAAGAAGGAAAAGCAAAATAAATTCATTGAGAATAATAAATTTTTGAGATCAGTTATTTAATAGTTGCAATAATTATGCGTGGAATCCGAAGTAGTAAGTCGCGTAAGTTAACGTATAAAGAAAATATGGACGCGTGTCAATCGTGCAGAAAGCAAATTCGTGCAATAATGATGATAAATAATTAATAACAGTAGCTGTAATAATAATAGCAATAATAAAAGTTGGAGAAAAGTGTAAGTTCTCAGAACAAAACCACAACTTTAACAATGATCGAATATTATTTCCCACATGCTGGAATACAGACACAAACAAAAATCAACAATAAATAAAAGGATGGGGCAGAAATGCTTCATACATTAAGTGGTTCTATTCTCCATCAACCCTAAAAGAATACTGAAAAAGAGAAAGAGAGGAAAAAGCTCCTTTTTGTATAGAAGAGTGCTCACATAGATTACTTAGTTATACTGATTACTTAACAGTCTATATGGATCAATGTCAGAGCTCTCATAAGTCATAACTCTCTCTCTAAGGATCAAACGAATGAATCTTTGATGTATTTGCGTATTTGCACTTAACCCTTTTCCTATGATATATATTTCTATCGTATTATTATGATTATTTTTTGCTTAATTAATGAACTTTGAACTAATTATTGATTATTTCAGATTGCTTTGAATAATATGTCAATTGCGAGAGAACAAGGTCTGTTTTTGCGGGATATGCTGGATATTCTCCGCTATTTGGAGAATTAACCCGTAGTGCTCAATGCATTACAGGAATTTATAAGAGGAACGGAGCAGATAAGTATTTTTCACTTTCTCTTTTTTTAATGAATTATTTTTAATTCCAACATTTTTTATGTTGCAAAGTGAGAATCTAATGGAATTTTTGTTGATTTATGAAAACTGCATTGCTAGATTTTAATTTTAGCTTCAGATTATTAGTTTAATTATTAATCATTGTGAAAACGAACAGTTATCTTTTTTTCATTTTGCGCAAAGTGTTCAATTTAAATTTGATTAATTTTAGGTGCTAATAATGTGAGGAAATTAAATTCATCAGTAACAAATTAAAAATTACTTTCAGTTTAATTTTGTTATTAAAATTTGTTTCATATAATTATTTGATAAGCATGGATCGTTACAAAAATCAAACTGTTCACACTGCCTTTTACAATTTGAACGAAAAAAATAAACTTAATTTTGGTTATTTTTAGGCGTTGATAAAGAAAAAAATATCTGTAAAACTTTTCTGTGTAACAGAGATAAAATGATGAAAAATAATGATGAAGGCAATTATTATTATTATTATTATTAATGACATCGATAAATTTTAATACTGTATCTCATTAAACCACATGAAAAAAATTAGTCAATTAAGTTCAAAACAAATTTATTTTCTTGTTAAATTTAATTTTGCTCAAACTGTTCACACGATCTTTTATATCAAAATATAGATTAGTGAAATCATCTTGCATAGAGTGTGACAAATTATTCGTTTCAAATGTTATCGATTATTATCTCCATTACAAATAAATGGTGGTGCATATTAGCTATGTTGATATTAGACACAATACAAATCTTTAATAGTAGAGATAGAAACTCTGATCAGAAAATTTCTCTTCAAATAGAGAACTATCGTTTTAGGTTGACACTATTAATTACAACGAGTTGAATATTGCAATTTAACAGTTCGTTTCACTATTTCTAATTAGCTATAGTGCATTTTCATTTAAAGGTAGTATGACTCATCCTAATCCTTAGTGCGACTTTTTAGCATGACCGCTCAGCACACGTCAACTCCTTCCGGAAAACCTCAAGGTTCTCCATGCAGTCATCAAGTGTAATGCCCAATAAAGGCAAAACACTCTTTCCCGCTCAGGAGATGACGCCATGCCACATCATCGCAGCTGCGCTCCGTCGCATTTTCGCTAAAAGCGAAGAAATACACACTACAGAAATGATTCTGTGAAGTATGATCTCACTTGCGCATCCTCCAACTTTCATTTTCAGTTACTCTTACTGCATGCAGTAAGTGGATCATTTCACAATTACTTCAGAAAAATTATTCTCTTTCTTAACATTTACACTATCTATCGCAATTTCTACATCTCTGCCAATCGTTTTCCTCGCGTCACAATTTTGTCGAGTGATAGTGTATTGGTAGACAGATATGCCATTTATATGACTGCAATAGTTATTCTTTATCACACAATTAAGGTAATATTCGATTACTTAAATATTTAAAATAATATTTTAAGTATTTGATTTCTTGAATATCTTTAAATAGTTTTGTCTTCATTTTGTTCAGTTTAGAGATTGTCTTCATTTTATATCTCTCTGCTATATATGCATTTCTTTAAGTAAACTTTTTGCTGCATTTGCATCTTAAAATTTAAATCATATGAAATGTACATATCAGAACAGAATTGCTGGGGGGGAAACTTTTGACATCATTCGACTATTAGTCACTAAGCGACAAGTGCTCTTAAGATTATTGGATATTATTTAAGTACTGAGAACTGAGAACTGAGAACTGAGAACAAGACAAAAAATATCAATAGTAAAAATAATTAGTGCAACATAGAATTTCAGGATTTACGTCATTTGCGCCACGTTGCATCTGCATTACTACTACAGAAGCTACCATCTTGTTCCTTTTCATCACTGATCAACTAACTATTAGCTATAAGAGAAAACCGTAATTGCAAAAAGCATAATTAAAATGTAGGAAGAATTCAGTTTTTCATTTTACCAATGCATATTAATCTACCAGAATTAAGGTACTATTTTTGGATACGAAAAATGTTGTTTTCAGCAAGCAGTAAAATTTGCTAATTTTATCCATAACCGTTTAGATGAGTATCGAAAATTTAACAGTTTGGTTTCTACATAAGTAGCTTGCATAAAATCTTTAGAAATTGGTCGATATTCCCATTTTATATTATTCTGCATGATATTTTCTTCTGGTATGAGGTAATTGTTGAAGGTTATCAATTATCAATTTATCAATTTCTTATCAATCAATTATCAATTTCTATATAAACTTAATGAAGTTTTTATAATCCTTTCGTAGCTGCTCAAAATTTCGTTAATTTTCATTTGGATTAAGTAGACTGTTAGATTTTGTTCTGTTATCATATATTTACGATTATTTCTATGGCTAATTTAATCATTTGCATCGTACATAATTGTTGGTACGTTGTTTTGTTCGATGATAAAGAGATTAAATGATAAATGAATTATTAGTTCATATTTATTTGAAATAATTTTTAGATTAAAAATCATGGAAATCATGGGAACTTTTTTTCATCTAATTAGTGAATTAGTGATCTTACTTTTACATTCCATATCCTTTATCTATATGTTCAGGAAAAATGACATTTGAGTCAGTTTCCTTCTATTAGCCTATTATCTTATCCACAAGATTTTAAAAAAGTATCTATCAATAGATTCTTCACTTTACAAATAAAAACCATAGTTTTTCAGTAATCTAAATAATAACAGTAATACATGACTTACCTATACATCTAAATAATAATAATAATAATAATAATAATAATAATAATAATAATAATAGTAGTAGTATATGACTTACGCACATGATAACACTTATTGTAATATTATACAGATAATTGAATGAATTTAAACAATTTTTAACAATTAAAATTAATTTTTATGTTAATATTAAATTGAAATTAATAGCAGTTATTACTATCTTTTCATAATTTTATATTGTTGCAAGATAATGTTCTCAAGAATATTACATCATAATTTTAAAAATAGGTAGGCAGAATGCAAGCAGATTTTAGGATCATTTATTAAAAAAAATTTCAAAGAAGTCCAAATAAATTTATGACACAAATGAATTTTAATCTTGTGAATTTATTCAATTTATTCATTACAGAAATCATAGTTTAATCGAATTCATTAATTAATCAATAAAAAGTGATATACTCCAATTTCATGATTAATACGTAAAGTTAATTTCAATGTTGGAATTAAATTAAAAATAATTATAATTACTTATTCTTTAGTTTAATCTTCTTATCGCAAAATGGACTTTTATATATATATATATATATATATATTTATCTTAGTTGTCAAAACTACATTCCAGCACATGCAGTTTTAATTTTGAATTTAATTTTAACAGAAAAGTTAGTTTTACTTATTAAATACTGAATCGAAAATCATTTAAATTCTTCTGGCTAACTTCTGGGAATTTTTATTATTCAGATAATTAATATGACTATGATATGACTTTGTTTACTGCTAATAATGTCATAAATTTATTTTGAACTCATTTCAAATTTTCCGTTACATTACATCTCATCAGGCATGATCTGTCAATGTATCTTCAATTACAAGGTTTTAAATTAAAAGATAAAAAGAATAATATTTCTTATTTTGAATTTTAATTTAGTTAAAAAATATTTTTGGTCATTATTTTATGCATTGAAATTAATTAAATTCATCCGATTAACATCACTTTCCATTATTTAAGCAGTAAAATAATTGTTTATGTTAAATTTAAATTAAAACAATAATTATAATTTTTAATTTTAATTTTTTAATTGTTGCAAAGATTTTTTTTTTTTGCTTTGTTTCATAGTGATGCTGTTACTCATAGAGGTCTATAAGTGCATTAATTTGTGCACTAAAATTTTAGTTAATCTTATTTCTTATTATTTAGTCAATGAATTTAATTGAAAGTTTTATTTCATAAAATAAAGTCATAAAACTTTAATTCATTAACATTATTGAATATATTTTGAAGTTATTTGACAATTATGATAATTTTGATAATTTGTTTTACAAATATTGCTTTGAAGTTATGATAAAGTGATGAAATTATAAATAATTGATAATATTTGGTCATTCTTTATTTTTATCACAAAAATGAATTTTGATTTTCAATCTATGAAAGAAATCTTCCAGCAAACATTACTTTTAGTTATTTAAATCAATGAAGTTAATAAAAGTGTGAATTCCAGAAATGTTGATATAATCATAAAAGAAAAAAGTATTTTAAGCTCATTTCATGTTTCCTTGATATTATTCGTCTTCATTGCATGATTTTTCCTCATCTTTATAAAATTTTTTGTTTACTAACCAATAAATGTTGCAGGGTGTTAATGTGAAGTGTTAATTAGATTGTATAAAATTGTAAACGATTGTTATGATTTAATCATTTCCAAATAGCAATTTAATCTAACAAATTATTAATATAAAAATGAATTTTATTCACTAATTTAAGCATTCAATATCGCCCAGTTGACACGATTTTCACTGTTTTGAATAATTTGATTGATGGACATTTGATTATGAAGTGTACAAATTCATGTCAAAATTTTTTGTTTTGTTTTTATGAATTACTGAAAATATGAAATGCATACAGCATGCAAATTGATTTCTATGTATAATTAATGCTAAAAAAGAAGAAAGAAGAGGAATCTAAATTTTTTCAATTCTGAAAAAAAAAAAAAAAAAAAAAAAAAAAAACGATTTTCCGAAAATTTTTAGGTTCTTTTTTAGCACGTTTTCATACGGTTTATCATACAATTCCTAATTTGATTATACCATCCTTTTCTATGTTGATTAGAACACATTGTTCAAATATCAAATTTTGTTGATCATAGATAGTAAACTTGCAAGTAACAAATGGTAAATTTATTTTTGGTTTTTACGCCATCGAGTAGCTAACAAAAATAAATACACTTCAAAAAGAATGTTACATGAAAAAATTAATGTTTTGATAATTAAATATTATTCAAAAAAGCCAGAAGTAATAATTTGCTATTATTTTAGCTGAATTTGACTTCGTGTTGTTTTCAGCGTTTGAATTGATATCACTTCCGAAGTCAGTGTTCTTTTACTAAACAATGAAAAAGTTGCACGGCGATATGGCTCAAGAGCAAGAATCGTAATGGTGATAATAGCGATCGATCGCATCTAAAATTATGTGACACTGAAAGAAAAAGGAATAACTGGGAATGATAAAAGATAATCAATGATATGGAAAGCAATGATTCCTTAATTAATTACCTCATAAAAGTAATAAATAATTAAATTAAGTATCATTTTGAAATAACTAGCAAGAAAATTGCTTTCGCAACCGGCAAATATACAGAAAGCATGTGCGCATGCGTTAACTAAAATACACATATATTAATGTCACTTTTGAGTAAAAAAATTGATAAAATAAAAGATGCTAAAAAGCTTCAAAGTACATTAACTGATTATATGTTTTGATTTTCGATTGAGTAATTTAAAGAGAGATGAAAGAGTGTCTGTAAATGCATCAAATGTTATCATAAGTTTTCACTATTAGTAAACAATTGGAAATGTTATTATTGTAGAAAAATAATAAAAATTTACTAAACATAGGCAAAGTGATGAATTCAATCGAATAACTATATAAAATGAATGAATATAAACGCTTCTGCTGCGCTTTTGCAACTCGAATAGAGTCAACACCGAGTGGTTTATACTTATTTATTTTAAGCAATCCCTGAAATAACGAAATGATTATTGTTGCAGAGATCATTGATAATTTCATTTAAAGTTATCATTGAGTTTGGAGAAGTATGTGATAATTGAAATGAAATTATCTGCAATTACCTGGAAAATTGCATCCTACACTAATTAATCATAATTGATGCCGGAAATACTATATAACTCATTCTATGGATTTCAGAATTCATAAAATCTTACTATTAGAGCAGCAAAGAATAATGAAATAAACAATGTGATATGTGTTAGAAAATAAGGTATACGATATTTGAATTCTGTAAATAGATAAGTTACAGAAGTACTCCAAATAAGGGCTGAAATATGTAATGCAACGTAGTATGGTTTTTGACTCCTGAAAATAGAGGAAGAAGAATAAACGGTCAATAACTTCCGTTCAAATCCAGAAAATACATTTCAGTAGGAAAAACCAAATAAAAATTTGTGCGGAAAAAAGAACAGAAAATGAAATAGCTTCCATATTACTCTTCAAATCAAAGTTTTATTTTAACATTTTGAGATTGTGAAATTTCCCATTAAAAGAAATAAATGAGTAATTTTCTAACAAAAAAAGTAAAACAAAAATTTTCCATCAAAAGAAGTGAAAGAATGAATTTCCAAAGGAGTAAAAGTAAAAGAATTGAAGAATAATGAAAAATACTTACCTATTGGAAAATTTCTTTGAATAAAAAAAGGGTTTCACGTAGGGTAAGTAGCAAATTATGACTGCATACAGCGTTAAAACATGAAACCAAATGCTTCCCAACCTAACATAAAATCGAGACCATTTTTGAATATCTGATCTAAAAAAGCAATGACTATTTTATTAAATCATCAAATTGCAAGATTTAGGATTACAAACTGAAACTAAAGAGACACTTGTGACAATCTAAATGAATTGAAAATGAATCGAAATGGATTGAAAATGAATCGAAATGAATTGAAAGCGAAACTTACAAATGTAATTTGCTTTCTGTAATAGAAATAAATAGTTTTGTAATATTAATTGCATCAGTTATGAGAGCAGCAATAGCCGATGTTACGCAAACAAACATTAAATTCAGTGTGAAATATTTGAAAAATCCATCCGTCACTTTCGTAAATATTAAATACAATATGAAAGGAATAATAATAATATTACCAACTGTTGTAAAATATGCTATCACGTGGCGTCTGTTGTATAAATATGCTAAACAAACGTGTCGTGATTTTGTTTACGGCAATCTATTTATTAACAATTTCTTCTCTCTTTATATTAATTTATGACATCAAAATGTGTAGCTTAGCATAATATTGCATTTATTTAATAAAAATAGTATACATATATATGAAAAAAAAAAAAAAAAAAACAATAAACAATGCTTTCGTGAAAATTTGTCTAATAGTTTTTCCTAAATTATTTCATTCTTCTCGGAAGGTAACATGAATTTCTCGAAATTCCATGAGAAAATTTTAGACAAAACTTTTGAATATTTGTATTTAAGAATTGCTCAAATGGCTGATAAAGTTTAATTGTAATCTATAAACTTACGGCAGAAAATGCCTAAGCCTTCACACAAAGGCACATTTGAACTATTGATAAAATTACTGCTGTTAGAATAATAAGTGCTGTTCATTTTGCTGAAAATTATTATTCTTATCATTTGGCAAGTTAAATATGTCAAAGCAATGCATAACAAAGTTATACAAATGCGCCACGCAATATTACACTAAATTTAGTATAATTTGTGTCACAGCTGTCAGATCATCTTATCATTATCATATTAACAGCACTTAGAATAATGTAATTGAGGTAATGGCAGCGATAATTATTGCACCTTGCCAATATCACATAAAGTAGTTTATAGCATTTTATTAGGACATTACTGAAGTTGTTAGCAATATTAAGGTTATTTATCACTCAGTAAAGTTATTAAAAATTTCATTAAGCATAATATTAACAATTAGCATAACAATCAGAAAGCAGTAGCTACTAGATGAAATGGATTATGAGATACAAATTTTATCATCACGCCGACTTATATTTTATTATTTTTTTCTAACCAATGGTCAAAGTATAATAAAATTTCTATGGATGGCATAAAAAAAAAAGGAAAATTTACATTAATTATTACTGTTTCTTTTTCAGTTTCATTGGTGATTATAAATTTTAATAATTTCCTTTTTTTTGTCAAATTCAAACATCGTTTTTTCTCTATTCCTTGTTCATTTCTTCAATTACAATGTCATAGCAGGCCATAATAAGTAATAACGCTAATAAATTAATAAAAACTACTAACATTGGGAAAAACGCTTTCTAAATAAATTGATTCGTTTAATTTTGTATTTTACCTTTTACCAGTATTTCTGTTTTAGCATTTCGGGTAATAATCAATTAAAATCTCAATAATATACCAATTGCATCCAATCACCACTGTTGCTAATACACAAATTTTCAACAATAAAATAAATTTTATTTAATCAGTTTTTACAAGTAGGATTTATTTATGGAATTTGTATTAATCACATATGAAAATGAAATCAGACCGAAAGTTTAAAAGTGTAATTATTCAATGTTAGTTAAAAGAAAGCATATTTGTTGTTTTTTTAGTTCAAATTTCTAGTTTATTCCCAATGAAATATTTTTTTTTTTTTTTTTTGTTCTATAGATTTAGGAAATTTATTGCAATGAAAGCGATGTATAACTATGATAAATTAAAATTGACTTAATAATTGGTATCGGTATTTAGCTAAGCTATCTAATGTAAATTTCATTTCTCATTTATAATAATTAAATTTAACTTAAGTTAAAAGATATTATGAAATACATTATTGGCAGCTGAAAATGACTTTAGAAATATACCATCTGCTCATTGAGGTTATTGCATAAGAAAAATGCTAACTACAACTGCTAGATGCATTAGAAAATTCTGACTACAACTGTAACTGACAAATAAGTAAAATTTTGTCCTATAGAATAAAAAACTTTAGTAGTTTAGCAACTATGAGCAAAATTTACTTTTTTAAGAAACGATAAAAAGTTAAATAGCAAAAATTAAAAAAAAAACCCAAAGTTATTTGGAGAAACAATCAGTTGCTACTAATTACTTTTATTAATTACATACCCTATAATTTTACCTTTATTTTTTTGTTTCACAGTATTACCTACATTTACAATTTTCGTCCACTGTTTTTGTTTTTGTTTTTGTTTTCGTCACCTTCAGTCATACCTATTTTTCATCAATCAATTTCATGCAATCTATGATAATATTGTAAGAAATTTTTGATGGAAAATGTTCACATCATCTGTTAAACAAAATGCTAAATAAATTCAAGAATATTTTATAAGTGAATAAAATTTCAGTATTGTTAACCATCCAACATTTTAAAATTTGTCATTTCAACCAAATTCATTGATGAATTTAATTGAAAATGAATAAAAAACAAAAAAAAAAAAAAAAAAAAATTAATGCGGAAATTTATTTTTGTGCTAGAAATGCATTGTCTTTCATTGATTTCTTCTTGACTCGTGCTAAGAAATTTTTTAATTTCACTATTTCAGTATCATTTTATCATTTCAAACTAATATTTCAAATAATTTGCAAGAATATTGAAGAAAGAAGTTTTGCTGTTGCAGATTTTAACATCGCGAAACACTAAATAAATGTTAACAATGCTTAATATAGCAATCCATTGATATCTTTTACAATTCATCGTAATGGTTTAATTGACTTTTGATCTTATATCAATTCATATACTGTGAGCATCTATCATGTAATGTCTATTGCAACTCATAGTAGCCACTTGTCATAATGTCTGGACAAACTATTGTACTCTCTTTCGTAATATCCATTCAATTCATTGTGATATCCACTTTTAAATCTATTTTTAAAGTTACTTACTATCATCCTTTGTACAAAAATGTCTAATTATAAACCACTCCGACATTTTAACACATATAGTGTAAGACAATTGCTATATAAGGATCACCCTTGTTAAATCTTGTTAAAAGATTTAGTATATGTGTAAATTATCGCCAAGGACCGACGATTCCAATTTCAATTGTTCTCTATCAACGTTTTGTCCTATTACTTCTGCTAATAAAGAAATTGGATTATATTTCTGTTATCTCACGCATTTACATTTACATCCAAGACAATCTCCCTGCAATCAAACACCTCTCCTAATATTATTAATTAAACAAATTAAAACCTTCCATGACATTTGCTGGTAAATAGAAGACCATATCAATTGTCAAGCAAAATGCTAATCAAGTTTGCTCTATAAAATTTTCTAAATCAAATGAAATTTCAATTTCGCTACCATCCCGACGTTTGGAAATTCATTCCTTTACCAAAATCATTGATAAAATCAACTGGAAGTGATATGAAATTTTTTCAAGAATATTTTGTAAAGTTGTAAAGCTACAATTGAAAAGGAATTTCAATTTGTATTAGAAATGTATGGGATATCATTATTTTCCCGCTTGATTTGTGCTAAAAAAATTTGAAATTCATCATTTCAATATCAGTTTATCATCAATTGTAGCAAAGCATTACAATTGTAGCATTCAATTAATTTCGATAATGCATTAAAAATAAGTATTTCAAAATGTTAGAAAGTTAAAAATAAGTATTTCAAAATGTTAGAAAGTCTTCTAAAACAAATTTTAATTTAACCTGATTTATCCATTTTGTGTGACTTGCAAAATTAATTTTGCTTTAATTTCTTTTCAATACATTAAAGCTTACAGGATGATCTCTCGAATTTCCTCCTCCAGTTCCTCAACACCACTTGCCTCCACCGGTGCCACCGGCACCTCAGGGCTTTCTTCCCTGCCTTCGCTATCTGGCAGAGGGGCACGCTCTGCTTCCGCTAGCCAATCGCTTCATCGTCATTTTCCGGCAGAGGTGCCCACTCTGCGTCTTCAATATTAAATTCCGGCTCCTGAGGTGCCGACCTCTTATCCACTTCTTCCTCATCCTGCTCTTCTCCCATTTCTTGTTGGGCATTTCGCCCTTCATACTCAGCCAGCCTTCCTTCTACCTCGGTCAAGCGAGCATTCAGCAGGCTATCACGCTGAAAAAACATACAATGATGATTATTTTATCATTATTTCCAGTACTCGTAGCATGAATTTAATAACATTTCTTATAATTTTTCTCTAGCACAATAAAGTACTAACACCAAGTAAAAACGAATAAATGAAAGGGATTAATCAATTTGTGAGAAATAAATAAATAAATAAATGAAATGAAAAATGGGATAATTACCTGTTGCCTCATATTCATAAATTCCTGTAATGCATTTAGCATTACAGGTTCGTTCTCCAAATAGCGGAGAACGTCAAATATTCCCGGTACTGCCGGGACTTCTTCATTTGCAGCGAGCATTCTTCAAAGCTTCGACTTCAAAGCAATCTGAAATAATCAATAATTAGTTCAAAGTTCATTAATTAAGCAAAAAATAATCATAATAATACGATAGAAATATATATCATAGGAAAAGGGTTAAGTGCAAATACGCAAATACATCAAAGATTCATTCGTTTGATCCTTAGAGAGAGAGTTATGACTTATGAGAGCTCTGACATTGATCCATATAGACTGTTAAGTAATCAGTATAACTAAGTAATCTATGTGAGCACTCTTCTATACAAAAAGGAGCTTTTTCCTCTCTTTCTCTTTTTCAGTATTCTTTTAGGGTTGATGGAGAATAGAACCACTTAATGTATGAAGCATTTCTGCCCCATCCTTCTATTTATTGTTGATTTTTGTTTGTGTCTGTATTCCAGCATGTGGGAAATAATATTCGATCATTGTTAAAGTTGTGGTTTTGTTTGGAGAACTTACACTTTTCTCCAACTTTTATTATTGCTATTATTGTTACAGCTACTGTTATTAATTATTAATTAAAAACTTTATTATATTATCAGCTACTGTTACTAATTAATTATCATCATTATTGCACGAATTTGCTTTCTGCACGATTGACATTCCACGCGTCCATATTTTCTTTATACGTTAACTTACGCGACTTACTACTTCGGATTCACGCATAATTATTGTAACTATTAAATAACTGATCTCAAAAATTTATTATTCTCAATAAATTTATTTTACTTTTCTTTTTTTTTTGTTTAAAAAAATCTCATTTAAAATTTAATTAATCCTTATTTCATTTCAGTTATGACTTCACTTTACTGAATAATCCGCAATAGCGACCAGAACGGTTTCTTAGATTTGAATTATTAGCATATCATTGACTTGTGCAATTCCTCTATTGAATTTATCGTTTTTATAAAAAAAAAAAAAAAAAAAAACAATTGCCTATACTGTAAAAAAAGAACTTAAGGATTAATTTTAATGGAAAGTTTAGTATTAGTAACACTAATTAACTAATGAGACTTAATTTGTAGGTAAAGTTAGCCTGGAATAATTACCTGCGAGTATGAGTGGAAAGTTCATTATTAGTGACCAATTAATTAATGAGACTTAATTTATAGGTAAAATTAGCACTGAGATAGTCACCTATGAAAGTTACCCACGCATGGTTGAAGAAGATCAGAGACAGCACTATTGCATGCTGGGTAGGTTTGATATGGGTTAAGAGTGTTATGGTGCTGGAATGTCATCCGGATGAGGGTGTTTGAGCAATATCGGCTTGAGGGAATTAGGCGTCAACTGGAATTGTCATCCTTATCAATAAGATGGTTAGGTAGTGTACCTGTTTTCCGGTTATTCAAGACTCTGTCTACTATATTACCCGCATGTTTCCTTATCTTTTTATGTCTTATATCTATCGCCTTTATTTTGCCCAGTTTTCTGTTCAACGAACTCTTCCCGCAGCCATTGCTCCATGGATCGATCACATTTCGGTTTGTTATGATATCATTTCCGTTCTTTACTAATCCTTAATTAAGGTTGAAAAAGAAAGAAGTAAGATGTTGCCCAAGATTGATATGGCTTATAGTCATAAATATGAATATTGTTTAAGTTAAATTTTGATTGAAAATTATAGTTTAAGTTTATTTGCATGTTCGAGTTTTCAGTTTAATGTGATTTAACTTATTGGATAAAATGGGTTAGGCGAAATCAAATCAAACTAATAAAATTGAAATTTCTTAGCAAGGATGTGTTAATTTAAATGTACTAGATAAACAACAAGAATAACTCATATTTGTTGAAGGTTTGTTATTTCAAAGCTATCAAATAAATTAGTGAAAAATTTTTTGCAGTTGATTATTTCAACCACTGGGAATTTATTAAACAAACAATTAAATTTCTGACAACTGCTAATATAGCAAAAAAATTTCTGATGAACAGTAATACTAACTTGTAGCTATCTCGATAGCCGTAATCTTAATCGTCGTTGCCTTCTTACCCTTTCTTTTGTAGTTATTTTGTAAATGACTTTTGTTTTTTTAGAAGAGGAAAAAGCTCGGAGAAACATCCATGGAATAATCTACGGATCGATTCAAACTTCCAGGAAACCAAACGAATTCTGGCATCAGTAAGACGAGATTTGCTTGAAGCTGCTCATCAGCTGAAAAATGTTAATTTGGAACATGAAATAATTACGAAACAAATGGCTGATGCAAGTATGTAATGTTTCGGATTTCTAACAGAACAGAAATTCCAAAAATGAACGTAAATTAAAACCATCATAATAACACACATGTTTTTCCGTGATAACAACTTTATCACATACATTTCTGGACTGATAGCGTATTGAGCAGTATGTATTCGTGCTCAATAAAGAAGTTCTAATTCTCACTTCTGGATTCCGTTTTTTTCATGTTATTATGTTTTTATTTGCAGGAAATGAATTGAAAATTCTACTACTGGATATCGAAGATATGGAATTATACCGTCGAGAATTGATTGCTAAAAATCGTGTGCCACTGTATCTTCCTGCTGCACCCGCTGTTACCTTTAGTAATGGTTATAAAGACAAAGTAACAATGACGAGTCCGAGTATAGCTTCGTTTGAAGCAGTCTTCGATTTCAGGTTGTCCAATCTTCATTTTCTGATTTTTTTCTTTTTTTTTTTTTTTTTTGACTGTTTAATTAAACTAACTTTGTTTTGGTTTTTTTTGCGCACTTCTTTTTTTTTTTAAATTTATTTCTTATTTTTTATTCTTACGTATTCTTTTATCCACTTCTGATATGTTGATTTTGCTAATTTTTCGCTTTTTGTATCTTTAACTTTTGCCTCTCTAAAATGTAATTTATCATCCTTACCATGTCAATTATTTTAAGTGCATAAAGTTCTTGAAGTGAAAAATAAGATTAATATATTAAAATTTCTCTTTTGCTATTTTCAGCCATCACTCTTTTCAAGTTTCAAGAATTCTAGTCTTTTTTAGATGGGATCCATAATTCTTTTGATTTTACTAAAATACCTTTTTTCATTTTTATTTCTTGTCCGCAAAGTCTAAAAAAGTTTCTTTAAGCAAGTGCTCAATAGCTGGAAATTTTGATATTTACATTTACAAACCTGGGGAGAATGCGTCGGAACATGCTGTGAGTTATTACAATTTGTTCAGGTGGGGTTATTTTGTTACGGATAGTTTGGCGTTTTTTTTTTTTTTTTAAATAATGAGCTGGATTAATTGATTATTCAGCAAAGAAAATTACAACTTAAATAAAAAATGTACAAAAATGAAGGTAATAGTGACTAAGCTCTAAAACTAAATCGATTTAATTTGCGACTGAAATTGTTGAATTTTTTTTAGTATTTCGTGGTGTGATAACTACATTATCAGTAAGGTTACAGTGTACTAAATAATCAGACGGTACTGATATTATTTTCAACCGAACAGATTTTTAATTAATTTTTTTTCCAGCCAGTTTCGTATAGTAACCAGTCGACCGAATGATGCATGTATTTTGTTTGCGTTTGTGGATAACACGAATGATGTAAAAGATTTGAAATACTGGAATAATGGTCAGAATCATGTCCTTCTAAATGTTGGTGTCAATTCGCTCTCATATTATTCGAATTCAGTTATTGTTTCTGCACTGTACGACTACAGGTATGATTTGGGTAATATCCCGATTCACTTTTCCATTCTATAACAATAGAAGATATATTTTCTCTCGGGAAAAGTAAAATCAAATGAAAGCGCTTAAATTTGACAGATTTGGATGCACCACAATCAATAAAAAAGTAAAAGCTAGTAATCTTGTAAGCATCATAAATAACGAGTCTGATTTCAAAAAAGTTCTATCCTCAGAAGTGTTTTAGGATGTTCAAAGACAATTTCGATATATCTCTGAATGTAAGAGTTCCTAATCATGACAAAAATCACTGGAAACAATTATCTCCTTTGTTGCCTTTAGCAAGAAAAGTAAGTTTAATAGTTCATTTTGTTACCAAGATCATTCGGATTTGCTACAAAGTGTCGTACTGTTATACGCCTTCGAGGTGCAATTGTCGGTGATAGCAGTGCTGTTTTGGACTGCCTTTCTCTTTACATGCCATTCATATTTTTTAAATAACATTCGGTAGACTATACCCATTAGTTATTAGCATAGCATACTTCTTTCCTTTCTTAACCTATTTTTTTCTAAAGATATTGAAACAATGTTTTCATCTATTAAATATTGTTATTGATTTCTGCAAGTTATTCGAAAAACAGAATCATGCGAAAAATTAATTTGATCACTCTTCAGTATCTATTAGCATGTGTTAGTACAATATCGGAAGAAATTTCATCAAATGTGAAGGAACAGCTGGAATTATTGGCAAGTTCAGCGGAGTCTGTTGGCGATCAGGTATTTCTGGACATCAACTGCCGGGAAAATTGTACTTCAAGAAGTATGTACTCAATTCTTTTACTATATAATAATTAGAAATAACGCAGTAGACGGAATTCACACTAAATGGTCGATAGTTCTGATTAGTTACAATAATTGTCGAAATATTAGTATTAATCATTGCAGCTAGTTCAAGTTTGAAATGAACTTTCGAAATTTTGAGTACGATGAAAGAACAAAGTTGGAATTATTCTAATTTGCTTTTATAATTTCAATGTATTTTGTATGTGGTGTGCTTGTAGGTTTTTGAAATTATGTAGTGCATAGGTAGCGACGAAATATTAATGTAGTAATTACGACCATTTGGTTTAGGAAATAGTTTACTGTAAGCATAAATGTTTTCATCTTAACTTCGCTTACATTGCACAAATGTAAATGAAGTAGTAATATGATTTGTTTAGATAATGTTTACTCCGAATCGGTGTTCGCTGTTATACTTTTCCAAACTGGACAAAGTCCTACAACTGTATTCCATGATCAGATACTCGCCGCTCTTCAATGTGGAGCTATACCGGTGATAACCACATTACTGCCACCTTTGCCTTTTATGGAGTTGTTAGATTGGCGACGAGCTGTATACACTTTACCATTGCAACGATTACCTGAATTGCATTTTATTTTACGCTCCTTTGCACCAGCTGATATTTTGGAAATGAGGCGTCAAGGACGATTTTTGCTGGAAAATTATCTCATTGATAAAAAAGGTTATTTTCATAAAATCAATATATAACATAGCGGTGAAATAAATGAGCAGTGAATTAATCGTGCATAAGAAGAATAGGAATAAATAAATAAGTAAAAAGTGAGAAATTAGAGCTACATTTTCAGGATACAAAATAAGTTATAGCTTTAATGATTAGCAGTAAGTTATAGCTTTAATGATTAGCATTTCTTTTTTTCGGGGAAAACAGTTTGTTTTTCTTTTTTTGAGAAAAATTTCTGAAATTTTTATTTTATGTTATGAAATAATTTTTGCAGTGGTTGCTGAAACATTAATAGCAGCATTAAGATTCCGTATTGGCGTACCTGGTGAACAAGCGATTGCTACACAAGCTAATCCATTGTTTGGTAATCAACAGTTCACTGCTCCACATTTAGTTCTAGTGAAACCGGTAGATGAAGAATATTTAGGTACTTTATTGTTTCTCCGTTTAAAATTTCTGTCATTAATAAATATCCTCTCTAATTCTTCATTTTTCTTCCTCTATAAACTTCATTTAACTATTAATGAAGAATTTTCAGCTTACCGGAATAAGAAGTTAAAATTGAGCACGTGTAGTTTATCATTTTAATTCGTGAACGAATCTTCTTAAATTTTTGCGGCAATGGATAATATCTTTATGACTCTAAATAACTAATAGATACACTCGTTATATTTATACAAATTTAATTGTTATTGCAGGGCCACGTGAAGCTCCACATATATCTTTTCCCTATACGCATAATTTCACATCTTTTCAAATGGTACATGATTTTCAGTATCCATGTTTCTTAAGTTGTAGAGCGACGGCTATGATATTGCAATGTTATTATTGATGTATCATAATTGACAGTATTTATAACTATGATAGAATTGTTAATATTGATGTAGATAATGATAATAGTGATAGCAATAATGACAGTGTATTGACTGACGTTATTGCCTTAAAAAAAACAAAACAAAACAAAATATAAACGTTTTTTCATACAGAATTATGTGATAATTATTTCATAACACATTCAATTTTTTAGTATTCATATTACTGGTGGAATAGCTTTGGTCGCGTAGCAGGAAGATCACTGGAATATATAATTAATGAACCACCATTTCCATCTCAGTTTGAATATGGCGAAGGTCTTGAATGGGGTTTTCGCCCGATTGCTCCACCAGCTAGTGGCGCAACTTTTTCGAATTCTCTTGGCGGTAATAGACCACGTGAGCAGTTTACAGGTAAATGCCTAATGTTTGTAAATAATGTGTTCAAAAAGAAACTTAATCTGGAAGGTAACTAGGTGCTTGATGTATAGCATATTAAAAAAAAATCCCAGATTATATATATTAAACATATTATATTGATTTGTTAGGTTCGAATACTTGAATAAAAAGTATAATTAAATTAAACGAAAAACTGATTAATAATGATGAGATTCTCTCGGGAGCTAATAACCGGAGAATATGTGTGGTTTGCGTTTCCTGCAGTAGTTTTACTCTGTTGGACTCCAAACAAACATCGGTATTTTCTATAATATTGATTTCAGAATTAGTAATCCTAACTTTCTGATTTCATTTATGATATGTTTCTGCTTTTCCAGTAGTACTTTTGACATATCAACGAGATGCTGTATTGGCTTCTGCACTGGAAAGGCTCAACAATATGCCATATTTAAATAAAGTCAGCAAACATTTTTATTTCATCCATTTACATTTATTTTATTTACTTTTTTCTACATTTCATTTACTAAATCTTTAAATATTTAGTTTTTGTTTACTCTTTTTCAAATTTATCACTTATCATATAGAAAACTCGCTCATTGCATATACAAAATGCAAAGGCAGTGGAGGATTTTTCTCTGCTTCTCTAACGAGCATAGAATCGGTTGAAATTGAGCAGCACAGAAAATGACTTTGATTGTGTAGGGAAGTGAAGATTGACACAATGGGTGATGGGAAGTGTAACACTCGCAGTGACGCACCGGTTTCATCGATGACCGAATTCATTCATAATGAAGTAACGACTGTGAGCGAAAGTCCCTGAACCTTGAGACTGAGAGAGCTCCACCCGTAGCTAGGGTGTACTCGGATATCCAACCTGGATGGCGTTTGGGCCAAGAGACCATAAACGGTTGAGCCTAGGATGGCCATCGGTTGACCTCCGGGGTTCGTTGCAAGCAAAGTAACGTTACATTATCAAACAGCACAGGGCTTACTCTCCTCATGTCACCCAGCAAACTTTTATCAGTTTGTGAATTAGATCGCATGGAACGACGATATCAAGCAATACTTATAAAGTAATTATGATAAATGAGACTGATGTGAATTTAAGCAATTGAAAATATTTCTCTATAATCCTCAGTTGCATTAATAACATATGTCAGGTATTGGTAATTTGGAATGGACGTGAGCCACCACTTGAACGTAACTGGCCACGACTACACGTTCCCGTCATTTTCATTAACTCGACTGTGAATTCATTGAATAACCGCTTTTTACCATATGAACAGGTGAAATGTTTGTTTTTTTAGTAAATCATAATATTCAGGTGAATACAGAAGCGTGAAACAAATTGGAAATATAGAGCAAATTTGTTAAGTTATATGCCTGTGTTGGTGATATCAATTAAACATTCGCAGATATGTTGAAATATTCGGTTGTGGTGCCTTCAATCTTCAAAAAAATTTTTTTTTGAACTAAAATTTTTTGACTATATTTACTATTATTTTTTTAATGTATATCTAAAGATAGCACTGAGATAAAGCAATTTGGAAAAGCCGTTAACAGTTTGATTTCTGAATATTAATATGTACTGGAATGCACTTTAAACGGGATTGTCTTTTGAAGATTAAGACGGAAGCAGTGCTTTCATTGGATGATGATATTGATCTCAGGCAACATGAAATTATTTTTGCATTCAGGTCTATTTTACAATTTTTTTGTCTAATTTGATTGAATTTTGAAATTGTGGATTGGTTATTGATCCATTACTTCTGCATATGTTCGCATTAAAGCATCAATTATGTAGCCTGAGGAGTTTCTAACCATTATGGGTAAATTCATGCATGGGTAAATTATATCTGATTACTACTGCTACTAATTGTTTGTGGACAACAAATTGTATAGTTTGAATTCGCATCGTGCCATAACAAACTTTTTTTGGGTAGAAATAAGGTACTTTCGGACAGAAATAAAAAGTCTATTGTGAGATTATGCATAGCACAATATTTAAGTCAAACCTATCGCTAATTGAGATAGTCATCTCTTTGCAAAATGAATTAATTGTAAGATTTCGGTTATTTTTTTAGAGTGTGGCGTGAACAAAGAACGAAAATTGTTGGCTTCCCAGCTCGACGTCATTCTCAACAAGGAAATGAAATTTTATATGACAGCAATCACACATGTCAATTCAGTATGATATTAACAGGAGCTGCATTTATTCATAAGGTATAATCATAATAGAAACGATTTGATTCAATTAGTATGCAAGACAACACAGCCTTATTGTCTCATCGATTTTTTCAAACATATAAAATTGTTCTTCGGTTCCTCGACGAATGCCTTCCTGAAGACTTGGTTTTTTTAGATTTTTGACAACTTTTAATTTCTATTTTGTCAAGATGTTTCATTTTCCAGTTATATAATTTTCAGAAAAATGATCAACTTTTCAGGCTTATTTATATGCTTATACATATGGTATGCCACAGGTAATAAGGGATAAAGTGGATGAATTTATGAACTGTGAAGATTTGGCAATGAATTTTTTTGTTGCTCATCTAACGCGTGAACCACCTATTAAAACGACCAGCAAATGGACATTGCGGTTATTGCCTTTTTTTTTTTTATTTAAGCCGCAACTGAAATAAAGTGTTTGAAACATTAAGGTTAACTATTCTAGCCGGAAGTTAATTATTAAATGATGCGGTGGTTCAAGCCCTCTGATGGGATACATCAGGTTATCGGGCTCCATTTATGATTGCATTATCTTGCCTTTAAATATAAATCCACTAGAGATTTAGAAAATTGAGATTTTAAATCATATTAAGTCTAGACATAGCTCTTCGCTATAGGATGATAACACAGAATTAATCGCTTCTGTGATATTCATTAGCCTTCAAACTATTTCAATCGATCTACTTTGCTTATTCAATGTTATCGATACATGTAAGGACAAATTAAATTTCAGGAAAAAAAATCATTAAGAAGCAGTGAAAATTCCTTCCAAAAACTTATTACACTTTTCAGTTGCCCAGCTTGTAAAACAAGTCTTTATAAACGGACTGCACACTATCTACAGCGGCATGAATGTATCCAATTTTTTACAAAAGTTTATGGATATAATCCACTACTTTTTACTCAACTTCGAGTGGATTCGGTACTGTTCAAGACACGTCTGCCAAGTAATCATCAGAAATGTTTCAAATATGTTTAAGTTTGTTGCTGTTCCATTTTTTTTTTTTTTTTTTTTTGCGTATAGAAACATAGAATTTTATGGTAAGACAAACAGAATTAATATCGTAGTTAATGGGACTATTAGAAATTCGTACAATTCTCAGTCAGTGATGTTTTGCCTCAGCAATTTCAGGTATTATTGACAGTGTCAATATTGTTTTGAAGTTACTGTAAAGTTTTGACCTAATTAAGTTACCAGTAATTTGTTCACTATTAGTACATAATTCTCAACAATGAGATGTTATTGTCTCAATCTACTAGAGTGTCTTTTCGTAAAACTTTTGGACGTTGTCCAATTCTACCAAGATCGATAAGCTGGATGTTACAAAAACATTTGTATCTGCTTCAAAATGTCAATGTGTATGTAATCTAAGTTGTTACGCCGTTTGTTGTTTCATCTTTCGCATGCTATATTTTCGAAACGGGTTAAAATTTAAACATCCATAATCTATAATTTAATGTCTTATGCGCAGTGTTTCCTCAGCAGCTAGCTTCAATATTCCGGACCATTTCACTGAAAACTCATCAACAAAACAGTGCATTTCGGGTGATTGATAAAACATATATCATACGGTTCCTTCTCTGAATACAGGCGCAGTTCGTTTGCGATTGTTATAGAAGAGCATCCAAAGTTTTTTAATATAAATCACGATGATTCAAACATATTCTAGTAATGTTCAGATACCGGTTTTCAGTAAGTGAATGTGTTTATTTAGATGTGATATATAATACAAAAAGAACACAAATGAGTGAAAGGTGCTGACAGTAAAAGGAAAAGTTTTTGTTCGTTAGATATTTCATTAGAACATTAAAAAAGAAAAGAATCTTTGAGGTATAAAACATAGTACAGCAGAACTATGGCTGGATGTGGGAAGAATTTCACTTTTCTACTTAATGAAAATATAGTATAACAAAATTGGAAGCGATCTTGTGCCGAAAAGTGAAATGAATTATAATTTGCATGTGATTATGATTCAGAAGTACGAGTATTTCTTCAAATACTTCGATGGGATAAATAATATGAAATTGAACACATTACAATTACTATCAACACTACTGCTGAGAGTCACACGTAGTGATTTCACAATGTAGCACAATTACGAATCATTCCTAAGACGAAACACAAAGGCGTAACTGAGAAAACTGGCTGCAAACTTATAAAGCTGTGCAAATAGTATATGAAAAATAAAATAGTAAGCGGATAAGATGTGTGTCTCAACCTTGATTATAATTTATACAAAATACAAGCCCACATGGTATTTCTGGAAATCAGTGAAATGAAGTGGAATTTTCGAAAACATTCCAACGAAGAAATGAAGTAATAACACCTATATTTTTGTATAAACAAAAGTGCTTGAAACTGTAATATTCCCTTCAATGATTATTCTGAAATGATAAGTTAGAAAGAGACAAAGAAGAGGAGAGCAGAAAGAGCAGGAATAACGCAAGACATAACGACTACAGTGAAATAAGAACTGCCTTCAGTTTATTTTTCCCTCTCAAAAAAATTCTAAAATCAGATCAGTAAACTAGAACTCTGAAGAGAATAATCTCCAAGCTCAAATTCTTACAAATCCTATTCAAATTATTAAATGCAGTACTTTTGCGAAAGAGAAATTCTCGAAATACAACCACAGCCAAACAACATACAAACTCTTAAAAACAAGTCGTAAAAATAAAGTTGAAAAAAAAAAAAAATCAAAATAAAAAAAAAAAAAAGAGAAATAGAAGCGATGCAGTCGTGATTATAAAACATTGAATGTAGTGAAAACGGAACAAAAGACAAAAATCACCGTACACAATCGTTAATAAAATTTTAAATAAAACGCTACAGAATTTGGACTTAAAAAAAAAGTGTAGAAAAATTTGATTAAATAAATGAACAAGTCGTACAAAGGGGAAAAAAAAAATGAAAAAGTGACAAAAACACGATTATATATAAAAAAAAAAATATATATATATATATATAAATATGAATACAACGTGTATGCGTGTACACCATTTTATAACAGCTTTCAAATACACATTCTTATGCACAAAGGAGGAACGATCAGTTAAAGAAAAAAATAAATTATTGCAAAGAAACATCATTAAGCACTAGTTGTGAGCGAATGTTTTAAAATATTAACAAAAAATACATTTTGAGATATCGATTATTCGCTTGCTCAATTTGCTGCAAACTGTTTCTCAAGCTCTTCGACACTAATACAATTAGCAGTTGGAGGGAGACGCGATATTATGGACGGAAGATCATTTGCTGCTGTTGTCGCTTGCAGTGATGAACCTGTTTAATACCATTTAATAATGCCAGCCAGAAAAATTTAGTTACTCAAACCATAATTCATAAAAACCTATAATCCATTGAAGTTAGAATGTTTAATGAATGCATATGAAGCCAGACATTAGCAAGTGGTTAATTTTAAAATGAAAAGACTTCTCAAAGAAAACAAAAAATTCAGGCAATGCTTTTTTGCTTACCGCTCACAAGCATGTCAGTAAGCAATATCATCTGTTTTTAATTATTTTTTTACCATTTTTTTACGGCATGGAAAGAAACATCGTACGCTAACTTCAATTAGTTTTCGACATACCTTGACGAGACTCCTTATTTGGTGGCTGTAAACCTCTGTTAGCTGGTACACCTGCCGACTGAAGCAACTTCTCTAGCGGATTCTGATATTTATACTGTGTTAAGGATGGAGGAGCTTGAGTGTTTTGTGGCATCGGAATTGGTGCTGTTGTCACTACCGGTTGCATAGTTAACGGGGCTCCCACCTAAAAGAGAAAAAACTACAACTAAAAAATGTGTCCAAGTTATTTTTACAAAGTTTTTTAATGATACTTATGAATCATAGTTTACTTCTAATAAGTAACTAAAAAAGCTGGAAAATAATAACTATTAAAAAGAAAAATAACAGTAAAAAAATGGCTAATAATCTGGCTGTAGGCATAAAAAATATCTTCCTATAAATGGTAGTAAAAATGCATGTCATTTGCTAGTGAAAGAAATATTCCAATACAAAATAAAAAAAATTTTCAAAAAGAAAAAAAGACAAACATGGTGTGGATGAGGCGCTACTGGAACATTAGGCAAAGCTGCAAAAGCTGCTGCTTGTTGTGATAAGAAACGTGCACGAATCAGTTGTGCTTGATTCAAATCACCACGCATCGCTGCTAGCGCATACTGTCGTTGATGCTCCGCATGAGCTGCTAGTGCTTGTGCTCGCACTGAAGCAGTCATTTGCGCATTCGACTGCCAATTATTCAATGATAAACCATTTTGCATTGCTGCAAGCACTTGAGCATACTGCTGCTGTACAGCAAGTCTTGTCATCAAGTTAGCTGCACTTTTTGAAGCCATGTTATTAACAACAGCATCACCAACAACTAAAAATCGATGAATGTTCTTCAAATTACAAAATGACCTAAATCTACCAATAAGGCAGAATTAGGAGGCCTAATAGTAATAAAAATTAAGAATTTCCAGTAGGTTACCAAAAATATACAAATTTCAGTAATTTATTGGAATTTAATATAATACCAAAAGTTTGATCAAATAAGACAATATTTGAAGCTCATAGTTCTGTGTGCAAAATATGCACTGCATTAAATTTATGATGCAATTTCATTAATAATCTTCACTCAGTTAAAAAAGTTTTGAAAACTAACGTTTATGAGGTACGTTGAAATGATCCGGAACAATATTTTGTTTGACAGCATTATACTGTGTAGAACATATGGGTATGTTAGAATGACGAAGCTTTTCTTCAGTGGTCATCGACGTATTACTGTTTTTGGTCATCTGTCGCATCACTGACGTTGGCATAAAGGAATTCGGAAGCACTCCTGTTGTAGAAGTCCGTGGAGTTGGAGCGATGGCAGTTACTGGCCGTGTTTGTGTCGATTGTGGTACTGCACCATTTCCTATTATATTCGTCAAAGCCTGCCTACAAAGTGAATATAAAATGCAGAGCATAAAAGATAAGCTAAACACAACAGATGCTATATCTATTCCATAATTTCTAAACTAAATCATTGCAATAATTTCTGAATCAAAATGCCAATTATACAATAAAATAATAGCAAAGATTACTACATACACCAGTTAGTGAAGCAATTGTAGGACACATTCAGTAAATGCCACCAAAATTTAAAATATCAGATCTTATCTATTTGATAGCAAGGAAATTTCTACTAATAATATGAATTAAAACTATTATTAACCTCAAAATAGTATTATCGACTGTTTGTGCACTTGAAACAAGCGCTGACCGTTGATTAGCAGCAAGTGCATGCAAAGCGGCTGCCTTCTCATATTGCGAACGAAGAAAAGCTGCTTGAAATGTAACATCAGAGAAAATTGGAGGTACCACAGAATGAGACGGTGCTTGCGAATTCAGATGATGTGTTGGAGCCACGGAAATTTTGGACGGAAATGTCAAATTGTCTTCCGTCATGCATGACACGTCATCCGTAGTTCCATTTTGCAAGCGCGCGAATTTATTTAGTTTGTTCATAAGATGAGCTTGTTGATACGGATCACCAAGCGGATTTCCTTTTATCGTCTGTCATTGTTCAAAAAAAAAGTCAAGTATACTCAACACTGGCAAATAAGCCATGAAGAACTAATATGAACATAAAACTGGAAATTCCTAACTTCTAAGTAGTTCTGCAAAAATTGGTTCAAATCAATACAACATTTCTGCCATCGCCACAAAACATAGAAATCGCAGTAGCTCTGTACATCCTTACATCTTAAGACAACAAAGTTCATTTCATCTACCAAGACATTCAGTAAGCAATAAAAATCCATGTGAATGAAGGTAAACGAACCTGGCTTATATATGATTGTCGAGAATTGGATGGGAGCTGTTCGCTATTTATTACGTTTCCATAACTATCAGCACCAACAGAAAGAGTAGATGGATTTCCAGGAGCTGATTCCTTCTGGAAATTACGTTCTAAATCTTCAACTCTCAAAATTCCTTGTACTGATGGCGCTACGTGCTGAAAAATGAAATATTAGTAATCGGTAAAATCGCACTACAGAATTCAATCGAATTTGACTACTTAAAAATGAAAAGTGTACAAAAATTAGCAAACCGGTTCAGGAAGAAATTGCGAGTGAAAAGGTCGTTGACAGGTACTTGAAAATATCTTATTGAGAACAGAAATCGATGCTGGAGTTTGTGAAGAGTCAGAAATGGAGGACGAAGAAGGGACAACATGCCTCTGCTGCAAAGGTTCGTTTCTACTAGTGCATGAATTATCTGAAAATAAAATTCATCATGAATAAGGTGGAAAGAAAATAAAAAAACATATTCGTAAATTCTTGAAAATATTTCTATATCATTAATTTAATAATTACCGGAATCTTCAGATTTAGTTGTAGCGAAGAAACGTGACAATCTGCTACCGGTTGGTTCTTTCGCTGCTGGTGATTTAAGCTCGTTCTGAAGTGAAATTATTTACCGATAAAATGCAAGGAGTTTTGACAATAATGTAGTTTTAGTTAGTTTGAAGGAACTGGTTTCACATAAAAAACAAATAAGCTGGTAAGAAGACAATTATAGAATTTAATGACTTAAGAATGAAGGAACTAGTATCTATCGAAGATAGTAATACCGAAATGTCTACAAAAAAAAAAAAAAAAAAAATGTGAAAATTTAATCCAAAGTAAAAAAAGAGAGCACAATAATATATCAACCAACACAGCAGAATGCAACTATATCTTAACAGAATCAAGAGACATTCTTACCTCTTTTAGTGAATCTAAATCCGCATCACCGAGAATACCCATAATTGCAGCAAATTCAGCATCAGAATTTGGCAAGCTACCATTTAGCAAAGGTACTGGCGTCATTGAATTACTGTCCTCAGCCATTGCAAAAGACAAACCAAGATTTGTTGATATATTATCGTCACTGTTTTGAATACGCGATGAAGTCGATTTACCATTTGGGGATCGACCTAAACCACTACTACCAATCTGGGAAGATAGCCTCCAATCTGTTGAATCAGTCTTCTCATCAGTCAAACTTTCGTTCAACTCACTTGTACCAGAAACTTCACTTTGTTGTTCCATCCTTACTGATTGTCTCTTCGGTCTATGAGAAAAATCACCTGTAATAAATGAGAAATGGATTTAATTTCATAAAAAATTAAAAAGCGATGAAATTTTATTGGTTGAATTGAATTATCTCAAAACCATTTAATTAACACATGGTATTCTCTTCTAGATGATACCGAATGTTGAACATTATTCAGTGAATTATTATTCTCAACCACTAGCATTCGATTTCGAAATCAACTATGTGTAAACAATTAACATAATCAGAAAATTGCTCTAGCAAATTATTGCGAATTCAAAAGACAAACTAAGATTTGTTGACATATCGTTATCACTGTCCTGATAACAGGATGAAGTTGGTCTACCAACCAAAAAATCACAACTATTACCAATCTACTGCACAAAAAAGATTAAATTCGCAGGCAAGTTCACTAACTGAAGCACATTGAAATTCCTGTTAAGATTTTACACGGATTAAAATAAGACACAACAGTAAAGTTCGACTTACGTTTAATCTTACTGTCGTCATCAAAACCACGCAGTTCAATCATATCATGCATCGATGTTGGACCATCATTGAGCCACTCCGGCATTCTTTCGTCTGCCATTTCTGCAGACTTGCCTCTCTAGAATATTTTTTAGATAATCAACAATAAAAATACATTTCCGACATTCGATTTTAAAGCAATACGTAAATAATTGAAATAATCACAGAAGGCATCTAGAAAATTGTTTATCAATTAGTTGTTAAAAAAAAAAGTCCATTAATTCAGTAGTGTACGAAATTCTTGTCATATATAACATCGTTATAAGAACCATGCGAAAAAAAAAAGAAAATCACCAGAAACGAAAGTCACTCGCGCTGCGTTAAAATAAAATAAAATTGTATAACCTGGCTTTGACTGCTTTCTTTCTGATAATTTGGTTTAAATGATGTTTCGCCCGAACGCCAGTTACCAGCACTACTCGTCAAGCTACCATTTTGTTGGCGGGTCCTTACAAATGAGGATTCACTGCTTCCAGCGTTTTTGTGCTAAAATTCGTTTTGTACGCATGTTATTTAGTTTCGTAGACATGTTATTCTAATAAGCTACTAAAAAGATCGTCAAACATTAGAACGTAAAATTGGTGAGAAAAGATATGCTTAGAATTTTAAAATTATTTCGGTTAGTGAAAGAGCATTCAGAAATTCTCGTAAAGATCATAACGCAGGAAATGGCCAAACTTACAAATGATGCCTTGTACTCCGTTCCAGAATTCTTCAACTGAAAACCAGCACCACTTCGCCAACTAGCCTTAGTTGCACCGAGTCTTTCCGTTTCTGCTTCTAATAAGCACTAATTATCAGTATTATTCTTTTTTTTTCTGTTAACGAAGCTTATAAGGCCTTTTGAAAAGATTCTCAGAAAGTGGCAACCTCGAAACACGACAAAAACTGTTGAATGATAAAAAATGTTTTCAAAAATTGGATCGATTTTATAAAGATATGAGTAAAGTGATGGTCTTAGTGGAACATTAGAATGCAACAAGGAAAATAATACACTACACTTTTTCTCTCTTATAGAGAACATTTACTGTTCATAATAATATAGCACCACTACTACCAACAATGCCTAACAGACCTATAGAGAAACAGGACTTTGATCTCCCAAGTAACAACAGTCTTATCTAGAGAACTCAAAAACTAATACAAAGATATTAATTCTGCAACAACAAATATAGCTTCTATACCTACTGAAAAAATATTACCATTCTTCATCGGTGACGCAGCACGACATCCGGACGAAAAACCTCGCCTCTGCGGAGAAAGAACGGTTGTATCGCCTTCTAGTGCTTCAACCTTCAGTTTCTCTTTTCTTTTTATATTTATATTTGGGCGATTTTCCACTCCCTCACAAATCCAACGATATTCCAGCCACTTTTCCGGTTCAAACTTCCCCTCATCGCTGAAAATGCATAAGTATTGGCAAGTCAGAAGTATTTTTCGTAAGGAAATATTTATAAGATATTTTACGACTGATTAACTTTTCAATATCCAATTAAGAAAACTTATACAATAAGTTCTAAAAGTGACTATTTATAACTTTAATATGAATCCGGCAACAGCAATTTACAAGTTTAATAGAATATTACTAACTCCAATAACTATATAGCTCATGAATATATTGTTCGTAACTTCAAGTGATAATTTTCATTACTTGCGATAATTTACTTAACAATACAAGCGATAAAGTGTATTAACGACAAAATATTTCTATGTAAGATGACTACATCTATTAATGAATAACTCAAATAAACTGAATTGAACAGACAAATTTTCAAGCCAAATCTAAACAAAAAAGGAATTCTAAACCATTCCAGACATGAAAAAAAAAAAAAGAACTAACTTATCAAATTCGGTAGACAAGTATTGAGGACGCACTCGACTTAATGGTGCATCCCTCATATTCAGCATTTCTTCACGAGTATATCGGTACACGTTATAATTATCATTTTGTGCATCACTACACACACACTTTTCAGGACCACCAGAAGAATTTTTATGCAACATGAACTCCTGAAATTAAACATAAACATTAGAAAAAACAAATAAATGTGTATACTTTGGACAAGTGATTGTAGCATTATGAGATTTGAGATTTCATTCCCACAACTTGAAGTGACCCATCAATCTTTTTTTTTTTTCTTTAAAAAATATTTTCTGCAAATTTTAAGCAAATTTTACTGGTAGACACTAATAAAGCGCAACACAATAGGACCTCAGCAAACGCAAAAACAGTACAGAATATCATTATTAATAACAATGAATTTTTAGCATTTTAATGAACCGCGATGCACACAAAATTTTTTGGGTCCGCGCATTTGGATGTAGCTTATACAGTTTTTCACAATACTCTAACTTATGGAACACTATATATAATTCATAAAATAATTTTGGACGTAGGGAAACAAAGAAAACACATCTTTAATACACTTCCAAGCAAGAAACACATTCAACTGTATTCAACGCTTGCATAAGTTAGAGTACTGTGAATTAATCCATTTGGATTGTAGTATTGTGAATAAGTGATTTTATATGATTATTATACAATTACCATATCATTAGATACTGTTTGTTCAGTTTAATTTTCTAAGTTTTCTTACAAAATAAAACATAAATTGGTCTGATAATTCACATATAGCAAGTCTTTCATGACAGTAATCTTTTCATATAAATGAATAGAAATAAGCAGAAAATTTTCATTTAACACACAATACATCTGATTATGACCTATCAAAATGTAAAATAAAACTTTTCAACTTTAAACACTTTAAATACACTAAATCATATTGCCTCAAGTTATAATAAATAATTTACACTTAAAATTTCAAGACCGTCAACCTTATTAATACAAAACATTTGTATTGCTAAAACTACGTCATAAAGTCCGTACTCAAATAATTTACTTCTAATGCATTGTAATTTCTTACATGGTGGCATCTTAGCTTCATCACAAATACTGCAAATTAAAAAAAAATACCTTTGTCGTAGTACACACACACACACACACACACATACCTGCAAATCTCAAACCTGAAATAAAAGCAGGAAAGCAACCTAACCCGATACAGACGGCAAACAACCGGAAAATATATTCCAATCATGGACGCCGATCATTTTGCGGCCCGTACCACATAAGTATAAGTAGGCAATTTCATATCGTCTCATGTGGTTGGGTTATCCAGAGATATGGTTCGATATATTCTGGTCAGCGTGGAATTTAGGCATTTTTGCACCGTGTCGGAAGTGGGCTAGGTGGGGCGTGGTGTACGTGATTTACGTGAGAGTGGTGGTATTGTTGCATTTAGTTCACGTGGGGCTAATAGTACTACTGCGTGCGTTTGCGGCAGTAAAGGAATTCCTATATTATCTGTTAGATTTAGAGGTTTTCCAGGTTTCAACAAAACTATATAAATGGTAGTAGTAACAGTGTTACAAATGATGGTTCTGGGATGGGCATTTAAATTACTTTAAGATGAAAGTTAGGAGATGTGAGCGATAATGATTATAAGTTCTAGTATTAAGAAAATAAGGAAAGTTTGATCACTTCGCCGTGTGAAGACGGTAGAAGTTAGGTTACATACCGTTATGTTAGGGTGGTAGAACATATTGTTATGTTATCGGTACAAAAATGAAACCGTTTGTAATGGAGATTAGATAGGAATTTTATATAGGTTACACTAGGTTACAAAGACAAAATTATATGCTAGTTATTGCAGGTTCAACTGACTTTGGTAGTTACAAATATTTTCACACCATCTGTTTTATGTGGTTCCTTGTTTAGCATCCGAAAGCAAGCTTTTCTTCATATTACTTTAGGTTTTTTTTTGGCGAGCTTGTTGAAAGCATTTAGAAGCAAGCTTAAAAATGGCGGTTGGAAAAAACAAAAAGATGGGTAAAAAAGGCGCGAAGAAGAAGGTTGTTGATCCATTCACACGTAAGGAATGGTATGATATTAAAGCACCATCAATGTTCAACGTGCAACATATCGGAAAGACGTTGGTGAATCGTACGCAAGGAACAAGTAAGTCTGATATCAGTGATGGCGCTTTTCTATACGAATTAGGTGAAAAGAACGGGAACTTGTTAGTTTTCTAGAAAATGTAGAGAAAGTGATGTATTTTTGAGTTGCTTCATCTTATATGGCTTTCATCCTCTTAGAATTTTGGTAGTAATGAAAACGGATCGTTCCCTATTACCATTTCCTGATAACGTCTACTTCATTAAAGTAAGATTTTTTCTGTTCCTGACTGACTCTCAAAAAAAAATTTTTTTTTTGTTTATTCATCTTTTAACTTGACCAGCCGTGATGACAACTATTGTTATGAGTTGGTTTTAACGCATTGTGTTTTCCACATATTTCACTTTTAGAAAAAATTGGTGTTGTTAATTAAGCCTTGCATAACTTGTTGTGAATTCCCTGTAGCGCTTTCCGCTGAGTGTTTTCAGTTTGATTTCCTGTTGTACGAGGGAAAAAAGGAACTTAGGAAAGATTTTATTCAAGTTTTTTGCATGAATTATTAGCAAAATATTACAGAAATTGCAAGCGAAGGTTTAAAAGGACGTGTCTACGAAGTGTCACTTGGCGATCTAAACAATGCTGAGTCAGAATTTCGAAAGATGCGTTTGATATGTGAAGATGTTCAGGGTCGAACTTGCTTAACCAATTTTCATGGCATGCGGCTTACACGTGACAAACTTTGTTCCATTGTCAAGAAATGGCATGTAAGTGATGTTTTGTTAATAAATTCCTCATAAAATCAGTTTTTTAAATATTAAGATAGCGTAGTTTATTTTTTCTCGTAATGCATATTTGGTTCGGATTTTCTATTATGTGCAGCGTTTTCATTTTAGCTAGGGTATTTTAATGTAAGCAGGGAAATTTTGATTTGTCATATTTCAGACTCTCATTGAAGCTAATGTCGCAGTCAAGACATCCGATGGTTATTTATTACGGCTTTTCTGCATTGGCTTCACAAAGAAGAATGCGAGGCAGCTGAAGAAAACAAGTTATGCGAAGTCATCAAAAATTAGACAAATTCGTGCTAAAATGGTGGAATACATGCAGAAGGAGGTGAGCATTGTTTGATGTCAGAACACTCTTTGTCATGCGACAACTATTTTTTTGGTATATCCTGAATGGAATATTTATAATAATCCCAATGAAATCTTGGAACTGACTGGGTACTTACCTTAGGGGCATATTTCTTTTCATTGTGCTGGAATATTAATTATTTAGGTACAAGGAAGTGATCTAAAGGATGTATGCCATAAACTAGTTCCGGATTCGATTGGCAAAGATATCGAAAAGGCGTGTTCTTACATCTATCCGTTGCAAGATGTATGCATTAGGAAAGTAAAAATATTGAAAAAACCGAAATTTGAAATTGGACGCCTTATGGAAATGCACACAGATGTTAGTACATTTACGAGTGCTGAAGGTGAAAAAATAGAAAGACCGGATGACTACGAACCTCCCGTACAAGAATCCGTATAAAGCTTTTGTTATGTTTATAATGCTATTTTCAGTTTTCGGAATAAAATCCTTTTTGTTGAAGTTGCAATATAAATGACGTCAGTAATTCGACTGAAGAATTATTGTCATTAAAAAAAAAAAATTGATTTGTCAGATGTATTGATTTTAGTGTAGTAGTTGCTGCATGCTGTACATAGCATAAATATTGTGAGGCTTGAACATTAGAAAGATCGTGATATGGAGTGTCATTAAAAGATGGTTCGTGATAGTGTAAGCATCGCATCGACTAATAGGTTACAATCAAAAAATCATAAATGTGAAACGTTGTACAAAATTGCATAATGAGACGTAATGATAACTCATGACACGATTAAGACAAGTTTAACACAGTTCGTGACGCGCTGTAAATGTCATTCTTATTGTATCTCGTGTTTCTCGCTGTGCACTGTCTGAGAGATTTGAATTTCAGTATAGTAGTCCCATGGTGCAGCTAGAAAATAGCAGTGATTTTTTTATGAAAAGGAGTAGAAATGTTGTTACATGGACAAGAGAATTTGCAATTTGATATATGAAAAATCCGTTCTACAAAAAAGATCAAAATTGGTTGGCGCTATCGAGCAGAATGAAAGTTATAGCAAATTTCAATTAGTTGGGTGCTTTAGTTCATGATGGATTTCACATTTTATTTCAGAATTTAAAATATTTAGTGGTCATTTTGATGTCAGATATATACCTATGTTTGTTCACTTTTTTGTCCATGCGTTAATTTTTTCATTACTATTTGTCAGAAAACTTAAGACATTTAAACTAATCCACGAAGAACAGATTAAAGCAAGAATAATTTATCCATGTTTATGAATAAGAGTTATTCCGTTAATATCAAAGTAAGAGTAAACTTAATGTTATGATAGATAAAAAATGATTGTTATGATCTCGTTTACTACTTTTCACTGTATTAAATTTAATGGCGTGAGTTTTATGCGTGAAAAGTTATAAATTTAAAAATTTAACTCTTATTTCTTTATGCATCACTCGAAAACGTTTATTTTTTATTTTTTTTTTTTTTTTTTTTTTTTTGAGGCTTCTCTTTTGCAAATGCAAAAAAGATTCCATCCATTCTTACAAAAAATATAATACCAATAATTTTGATGATTTATGAACATACCGGAAATGACACAATCAATCGTTCCTAATGATTTATGAGTAGCAAATAGGAATTATTTTAACTTACAAAATTCTTTTCCTTGGTGAAAATGACGTAAAACAGATGAAATTTTGATCAGAAATTGAAATAATTTTACTTGTGAAAAATGCCACATTTAGTAAAATATGCGAGAAATTGTGAGAGAAATTTGATCTGTTTGAAAATTTATTTTTCAAATCATTCATCACTATGATCATAGATCACATATTCATTCTCACATTCATCAAAAATATTTTTGACCGATATAGGAACAATAGGTATTATTATTATTTTCTTTACTTTGTATTTGCTTACTTGTAAAACGTTTGTTTATATGAAATTAATTCCATATTCAGATTCAGATTTAAAAAATGTTTGTTTTCAGATTATAAAAAAAAAAAAAAAAAGTTATAAAATGTTTGTTTATGTGAAATTAATTTCAAATTCAATAAATGAGTAATATGAAATTAAAAAAAAAAAAACTAATATTTATGTGACAGTAATGAAATGATAAAATTTTATTCAAAAATTAGTAAATAAATGAGTAAATGCAAAAATAGAAAGTTAACGTAGTATAATTATCGCTAAAATATCGCTTTGCTCAAAACACGTAATAATAAATTGAGTGAATGAGGAATAAAATCAATGATAATTATCGATGGACATTAATCATTGTCCACCTATCTCCTCCAATATTCCTATCACAGAATAAGATGGACAACAAAATGGACAGAGCAAGGTGGACAACAAAATGGAAATTTCGGTTCTTAGTGGACAAAGATTTTGTTGTTTTTTCTTTCTTTTCCACTAATAATTCGAAGGACTAATTAAATAACAAGCACTGAAAAGATAAATAAGTTAACTTCAATAAGATGAAAGAAATATTAATCAAATTGAGCAGCAATTCATTTCAATTTATCAATGATAATCATCATGAATAAGAGGACATCATCATCGTATTGACTGATGATAATAAAATAATCGTTAATTAATTGATTAATTAATGATTATAGAATTGATATGATAAAAAATAATACAAAAATCATTAAAATTATTGAACTAGAATAAGGTGAAAGATTGTATAAGACTTTGTTTTACTTCTTAAATACATTTATCTTTCTTCAATATTTATATTTTATTATTACATTATTTCCACCTTGGTTTTGATACAGTACCAGTTTTAATTAACAAAGGTCTTGAAGCAGTGCTACAGGAATCGGTACGTTTCATTGTTCTATTATTATGCGAACTACCGGTTGTTGTCGTAGGTGTTGAAGTTGACACTTGTTGACCAGATTTATTTATTCCTTTTACAGGTCGTCGTGTTGTGGAAGGTGATGAACGTGGTGGTACTACACGTGATAATGATGTTGCACCACCAATTATTGTTCGTTGTGGAGCTGATTTTGGACGTGTTATAACGTGACCTAATTTTGATGTTGATGATAATGATGATGATGATGATGGATCATTATTTGGTGAAATAGTAGAATGTGAATTATTATCATTTGATTGTAATGCACCTTTTATTGTTACTAAATTTGATTTAGCATACGTTGTTCGATGATTTTTCCGCCAAAATGTTTGTGAATCAATATTTTGCTCATTTTGATTACTTAATGGATGAAATGTATTAGTAGTACGTGAATTTTCCGTTGTTGATAAATTTGACGTACACGGTATCTCAGTATCTGTAGTTGTAGAAGTAATCATTGATTTCTTTGGCATACGTATTGTTGTTGAATTTTTTGTAGCCATAACATTTGATAAATTATTCGTAGTTGTATTACCAGAATTTAACTTTCGAGTTGATATACCTTTGTTAGTTTTTGTTGAGATTATTTCACTTTTATTTGTTAACATTTTTTCATTACGTCGTTTTATCATAGTTTCTTTGTTGGTACTAGCAGTAGTAGTATTAGTATTAGTATTTGTAGTATTAGCAGTAGTAGTGGTAGTAGTGTTGAATAATTTGCCAGATTGTATTGATGATTTCGAATTGATAAGATTTTTTGATTCATTACAACATATCTCATCCAGCATTTCAATTTTTTGATTTGTTGAATTAAATTGTGTAGCAAAAATGGATGTTGATTTGTTGTTATTAGATGATTGTTGTTGTTCCTGCTGTTGTTGTTGTTGTTGTTGTTGTTGTTGTTGTTGTGACATCGATTTATGTGATGATGGAATTGTTGATAATTTATTTCGATATGATAACGAATTTCGTGATTGTTCATTGGAAGTTTGAATTGATTTCATTGTTCGTACATTACGAATTGTCTTTGATAATGGAATTTCGGTAGTTTTTTCCATTGCAACTCGTTGTTTCATTTTATCCATTGAATAAAGTATTGTTGTAATTTTATCATTATTTTTTATATTATTTATTGAATTATTATTGATTGATGTTATTTCTTCTAAATTAATATTATTTGATGGCATTCTTTCAACTTTTATCATTGTTGATGATGAATCTTCTGAAAGAAAGAAGAATTTATAATATTGCAATGAGTAAAATATTTTAATGATTAAAGTTTAAAAATACTTCAATGTTTTAATATTATTAAAATTTTAGTAGTAGTACGGTTAAAGTAACAATTTTATGCGATAAATTATTGATATTTTGCTATTAATAACTTAGACAAATATTTTACTTAATGTAACAGATAAATTTTATGATAATCAGTAAGTTACAAAGAACAAAAAGTCATTAGAAAAAGCTTAGAAAAAAAAAAAAAAAAAGAAAACCTGTGCTTATTATTATTGTAATAATTATTGTAGTTAAATAATTTCATTAAAAAAATTTTTTTTTTTTAGAACCGATTTGACATTAAACGAATAAAATATTTTATAACCTGTAGAAGTTGAAAATGTAGGTGTCATTTCAATTAATTCATCAGGCATTTCTTTGTTGTACTAAAAAAATAAATTATTAATTCTCAAATTTAAATAAAAGTTTAAATTCGAAAAAGAATTAACGAAAAAAAAAAAAGAAAAAAAGTGATTTCTGAATGAAGAAAATGATAATGATAATGATAATGATAATAATTCTCACCTCAACATGTTGTTTTACAGCTTCTTTTTCCACTCTTTCAGCTACTTCCAAAAATTCATCCAAATTTTGACTATGTCTTATCAAATATGCATCACTTTTATTTCGTGATTGTTTTCGTAATTTCAAAATTGGTGACATATCGCTCTAATTTATCACAAAATTATTAGCAGAAGAAAAAAAAAACGAAAGAATATATAATAGCAGTAAGTGAGTAATTAAAAATTGAATTAAAAAAATGATAAAATTGTATCAATTTTGTTTCATTAATAAATAAAATTATCATTGATAAAAATTCATACTAAAATATAAATGCTCTTACCTCATCAGGTATATCATCCTTTAGCTTACGAACTGTTCGATGAATAATTTTACGATCTTTCTTCTCATCATCATTTGATAATTTCACTAGCATATTTGTTGGATTAATATTTAAACGAGGTCGAGAGTGACGAATATTCGAATGAGTACTAAATCAAATATATGAAAAATTAGTAATGTATGTTTTTTTTTTTTTTTTTTTAAACTGTCAAATTTTCTATTTTTTTATTTTTTACTTCTTTAAACATTATTGCTCAAAAATTGATGATAGTATTTCATAGGTAACAAAGAAAAAAAAAAGAAAAAATGAATTAACACAATCATTTCCCATCGTTATACATTTACTTAAACATTTGCGCCACTACTCGATTAAAAAAAAAAATGATAGAATTGTATCAGTTTTGTAAAATTTAAAATGTATTAGCGCAAATATTTAAAAGTAAATATATCAAATCAAATACATTACGAATACCTTAGTATTACTTAACTTGCCTAAAAATTTTTATCATAATAAAATTTCAAGCTTACTTGCTTTCCAGAAGTTCTTCCAATGTTCTATTATTGTTGTTATCATTATCAGTATCATTATTGTTATTGTTTATCTTCTTTAGTAAATTAAACTCTGAGGAATTATTCGGCATCATTTTTTCCATATTTGTTTTTTCATCCAAACGCTTCAATCGTTTTGTGCGTTTTTCATTATCCTGAATGAAAAATATGCAAAAATATAGCAATTTAAAAGTTGAATTTATTAATTTATTTTCTATTTTAATAAATGAAAATATAAGAAATCTAATTTGATACATAATCAAAAACATTCATTAATTTATTCATTTCTAAATATACAGGAATTCCGAAGATAATTATTATTTTTGTTAGCGAAACTTTTTGTGAAATTAAAAAAAAAAACGAAAAGAAAAATAAAATTGACAAATTAATTAAGCAAGTTTTGTTTTTCAATCAAATTCAAATTTGAGTAAAATATTTGCAAATAGAATTAAAAACATTCCCTATACAATATTTTGCTAGATTTTTCTTTTTTTTTTTTTACATAAGAATAAGTTAAATGAAATATAGAAAATTACTAATTATTAAAAGTAAATATAATTGTTATTATTATTATTAAAATAAAAATGATAATATCATACATTTAGCGCATCACGTAGTCTACAGATGAATGTTGATAATATTTTAAAGCATTCCTCAATTTTGAAATGTTTTTCATCTTCACAAAAATATACTGCCAAATAGGAAATTAATTGATCCATTTGCTCTAATTGCTCTTGCATATTTTCCATATGTTGTTGTGAATTCTTGAAATTTTAAATTTATTTAACTCTTCACAATTTTCTTTTTTTTTTGACTTAAGTTTAACTAATTTAATCTTTTTTTTTTTCCTTTAAACTATATTAGAGTTATGTCTAATAATATAATGTTTTTACATTTGCATGGATAGAAAAATGTAATAAATGAAATGATTTAATAAAATAATTCAAATATATGATTTGTAGATAAATTTTGAAAAAATATTTCCTCAAATGCTTAATGCAATGCAAACAATTAGGGTAATAAAAATTTATTCGATTCAAAATTCGAAATTTTTAACAAAATTTTTACTTCAATTATCAAATGTAATAAATGAACAAATAATGCAATGAATAATAAAATTTAAAAAAAAAAAATTTTTTTTTTAATTGCTAATAAAAAAGAGACAGAAATTGAAACATACCATAAAATGCTGGTTGATATTTTCAAAAAAATGGTTATCAGTTCGTTTTCTTACTTCAATGCTTATATTAATCAGTTTATCACGAATTGTTCGAACATCATTTCGAATTGATTCCAATGATAATCTAAAAAGTGTTTTTAAAATTTATTTATATCTGATTCTAATGTCAATGAACAAAATGTTTTATTGTTCAGTGCAATTTAATGAAATTACAAATAATTAAAATGTAAAATTTAATTTAATACAAACACAGTTCAATAAGCAAACATATAATTAATAACAAAATTTAAAAATGTAATTTGAACAATTTTTTTGCTTTTTACAAATATATAAAATTATTTTAAATCGTTTTTTTTTTTTAAATAATAATTTTATTATTAAAAATTAATAATATTACCTTGCAGCTATTGGTACTGTTAACAGCTCATTCAGTAATTTTTCTGTGCATTCACGATCTTGCTAGAAAAAAAAAAAAAAATAACTAACTGATAAGTTAAATTTAAAGTAATTCAAAAGTAACAGAAGTAACTGTTAAATTATATTCGAAATAGGAAAAAATATTTTTTATAACGCCGATGCAAAAAAAAAAAAATTATCTCTTCGAATTATTTAAATTATTCAACAATTTTAAATTTTTATCCAATTTTATATGATATTTTAAAATAACTGAATTTCTACAAGAAGAAAAAAGGAGTTATATTATTTAATTTAATTTTTAAATGATAAATATATCTGTCATGAATTGCATATATTATTATTTCATTTTATAATTTCCGGTTCCGGTTGAAAGTAAAATCTAACCATTGCAATGAAATGTAGAAGTGTAATACTTTTTTGCGTTCCTTTTACATCCAAAATTCTCCAAAGCGAATTCAATTTAAATCCGGCAGCATTTCCAAATGTTGCATTTGCATTTAAAAAATTACCAATTTGTACAAGCATACAAAAAATTTTTGGCAATGCTTTGCTTTCTTTAATTTCTGAAATTACAAAAAAAAAAAAAAAAAAAAAAAATTATATTTAAAAATTATTTATCATAATTTGCATTTTAATGAAGGTAGCATGCATTTTTGCATGCATTTTATATCTTTAACACTTACTCAAACAACTAACTAACTAATACATTTAATAATCGAAGAAATTAATTAAAAATAAAAAAAATTTAAAAATATTTCTTCTACTAAACACTTCAAATATAATTAGAAAATTTTTCACAATTTCTCTTTATTTATTTAATTATCTAAAATTAATTTATCTTTCAAATCCTAATGCATTACTTAATTATTAATTTATATTTGCATTAATTAAACTAAACAAAAACAAACCTATGCAACTGTTAATTACAGTATCAATATGAGGTAGCAAAGTTTCGAAAGCAATATTCAATTCCTCTTTTAAAATCATACAATCTAAGATAAGCCTATAGTCTGATACAGTTAATAGATTTAAAAAGAATTGTTCGGCAATACCAAGCTGTGATTCATCACCACTAAATCCTCGTAAAATTTCAATCTGTAATAATTTCATTTAAATTTACATTTAAATTTTATTTTAGGAAAAAAAAAAAAATATGTCGTAGCAACGAATAAAATTATCAATTCTATTTCAAATTCAACTATAATTCTTTGTTTAACTTTACATTAAGGCAAAAACATAAGTTACTTTTTTTTTTTTTTTTTTAAAATTTTACAAAAATTGTATGCCTTAGCTGATATCACTTATTATTAAACAATTTTTGAAAAAAAAAATGCAATTTTATAAAAAAATAAAAAACTTGAAAATATTTACCTCTTCATTATCAGGTAAAATAGCATGAAGATTATTTAATCGTTCAAGACCAAAAAATTCACCATTTCCATTTCGAACATTTTCGATAATTTGAAATATACCTTAAAATTAACATCCTATCTTATTTTAATTTTAAATTATCATAAAAAATATTTCAAAAATAAAAAAAAAAATAATTAGTTTAAAAAAAGGAAAAAAAAAAAAAAAAAGGAGAAATTAAAAAGCTAAATTACCTTCTTTTAACATCCTATCTTATTTTAATTTTAAATTATCATAAAAAATATTTCAAAAATAAAAAAAAAAATAATTAATTTAAGAAAAGGAAAAAAAAAAAAAAAAAAAAGGAGAAATTAAAAAGCTAAATTACCTTCTTTAAATTGTTTTAGGAAAATGCTCACATTAAAACTTCGTTTATGTGATAATAAAGTAATTACGGCATTCTTCCGTGTATTACGTCGTTCTACGTTTAATGTATCAGTGCATGTTCTAACAGCAGTACAACTAAACATTGATTCTAATTCATCGAAATTAAGATGTAATTCTGAAAATTGAAAAAAAAAAAAAAGTTAGAATGAAAAAACTTTGAAATCATTTTTTTTTTTAAATGAAATAACTCTAATTTTTTTTTTTAAAAAAAGAAAAAAGATTTTATGTAAAAATTAGAATAAAATAAAAAATAACCAATCAAATTGATAATAGAAAACCTTTTTTTCTTTTTTTTTTTTTTTAATTTTATCGGAAAAAAAAAAAACTAAACAATTGAAATTTTGAAATTGTAGGAATATTATAGAAAGATAATTATGAACAGAAAGTTATCCAACCAAATTAGCAAATTTCACATTTTCACTTTTTGTCGTAGAAAATTCTTTTCTTCTTTTTCTTCATATAAAGTAAATTTTTTTTAATTTTTTTAATTGTTTCATCTTAATTATAGTGAAATAAAATTATAAACTTAGGCTGAATTTTTCAGAAATTTAATTTAATAAAAGTTTACATCGAATTTACATCGAAATGATACCATTTTCAGAGAGTCGTGCAGAAGACATCCAAACGTTATGAATTTTTTGCATACCATCGCCAATTACCTAAAATATTTTCAAATTTTACTAATTGAAAAAAAAAAATAGAGAGATATTGGATACTTTAAATTATCAAATTACATAATTTGACGAAACTCTTTTTCATCTTCCTTCTATTATTTCTCTAGGCAAACCTTTTTTTAAATTAAACTTCTATTTAAATAAAAATTAAAAATTGGTGGATAGAATTTTTTTAGTTTAAAACATCTGTAAATTAGAATAATTAAGAAAAAATTCGAAACTAAAAAAATTTTGCACTCATTAAAAAGAAAAAGTCTTGAAAAAAAAAAAAAAAAAAGAGATCCTTTTATTAATTCTTCCAATGTTGTAAAATTTTAGTTTTCATTTTGAAATTGTAAAATTAGCCTTTTCAACGGGTATTTTAGTCCATTGAATTTGTTTCATTTGTGAACCAGCTTTAGGCATAGCTTTCGGTTTTAATGCTTTCGGTATATCCAATTTTTTCTTTGGTAACAATTTGCTACCTTTAGCATTTAGTTGAAATGGTAAAGGAGGTGACAGTCCACCAGTGTTTTCTGATGATAGTGGCAGTGGTGGCGGTGGTGGTGGCGGTGGTGGCGGTGGTGGTGGTGGCGGTGGCGGTGGTGGTGGTGCTGGTGGTAGTGCTGGTGAAGTTGATGAAAGTACGTTTGGTAGCGTTGTACCAAGTATAGATGTTGCTGCAAAAAAAAAAAAAGAAAAAAAAAGTGAAATTTTATAAAATTTAAATTTGTAAATGAGAAGTTAAACTAAATAAAATTCTTATGGAACTGAATTGAAAAGATTAAATTATTTCATTTATTTATAATTTCCAAAAATTACTGTAAAATTTCCAACAAATGAATAAAATTATTCAATTTTAGGATAATAATTCTTAAAAATACTACTTCTCTCTTTTTTTTTTTTTCAAAATAAACAAATTAAAAAAAGTGAAAAAACGCAACGATTCAATGTGACATAAAATTTTCAAGCTTTTTTTTTTTTTTTAAACCGGAATATTCTTCCGTATTTCTCTCAACTATTCGACAAGAAAAAATAATGGTTTAATCATATCCAAATCTCAAAAAATTTTCAATGATTATTTAAATTTCAATGATTAATTATTAATCGATCATTTGATACATTCATATTTAAATTGAATACATTTGCTCACCAGTAAAATCTTACAATCTCGTCTATTAAACTATTTTATCAATTTATTTTTTAATTAAAAAAAAAAAAAATTGTGATTTCAATTTCTTAAAAAATTAAAACAAGACAAAAGAAAAAAAAAAATTGCAACAATATTGAATCTACAAATAATACTTTACCATTTACCTTCAATAATTTCATCCTTTTTGTCATTAATCTTTCCTCCAATTGTCATTTCCATTATCATTTCAGCATCATTCTTTTAAAAAAAAAAAAATAAATAAAAAGTGTAATAAAATTTTAAAACAAAAAAATCAAAATTATAATTGTTTTATTTAAAAATAACAATGAAACAATGTTAAATTAAAAGTATTTCAAAAAAAAAAAAAAAAAAAATGACATAATAGCAATAAATAATTAAATTAAAAAAAATATTTCAATGATTAATTATTAAAACAATATTTAATTAAAAATATTTCAATGTTAAATTAATAATTCATTTTAAAAAAAATTCAAAAAAAAAAAATTTTTTTTTAAATAAGAATAAAATAATTTACCGGATTACATTTAAGTAACAATGCTTCAACTAATTGCTCAACATTATTAGCATTTACTGAATCGGTTTTATTCTTTAATAAATTTATCAATTGTACAAGTGCATTATCCTTGTAGCATGAATCATCCAATGTCTAAAATTTAATTTTAATAAATGCAAAAAAAAAAAATTTAATAATATTGTTGAGACAAAAAAAAAAAATGATAGTTTAGTATTATTATAAATACTGGATCAGGAATACTGGAATATTGTAATTTTATCTGAGGATTATTTTATTTTAAATTTGTGAAATAAAATTGAAAATTCTATCTGACAAAACATTTAAATGAATGAGAAATGAAAAAAAAAAAAGGGAGGATTTGATTTGAAAAAATTAAATTAGTTAATTCTAGTAAATGAAAAAAAAAATATGAATATCAATTTATCATCAGAAATTGATAAAATTTTAATGGAAATTTAATGATAAAATGATAAACGGTTAAATGCAGTAACTAAAAATGTTTAAATTTAAAGAACAAATTAATGCATGAGATAGCATCAAATAATTTTTATTTTCACAACATCCTTTAATATTATATAACTCTTTAAATTGAATCATTTTAAATTGAAATTTTATATGTATCAGTGGAATATTTTTAGTAATATTTTAATTCACAAACTTTTTAAATGGAATTTTCCATTATTTACTAGTTAATGAAATTTATTTTCTTTTACACAAACAATTTCACATTTGGATTAAATTTGTTAATTTAATTCTAAGCTACTCTTCATCTTCTATCAAAATATGTATATATAGAGTTCAAAATTTCATAACTGGTTTCTTTATTTTTTTTTTTTTTTTTAATTTTTCTCAAAAATTTTTAAACAATTTATCAAATTTTTTTTTAATTGCAAATGTATTAATAAAGCTTAATATTAGCTATTGTTTTTTTTTTTTTTTTTTTTTTTTTTTAATACATTAAATTTATTTTTTGTTTTTTCTTTTTGAATAATTTATGAAAAGATTGAAAAATTTAAATTAAAAAAAATATCAGTACATTATTATTCCAAGTTTGTGATGATTGAACCGTTTCTACAGAAGCCATCCGATAGCTGTCGTTGTCGTTGTCGTCGTCTTCTTCACTTTCTTCAGTGAATGAATTTGAATCTTCAGCTTCTGCAAATGATGATGACCGAGCTGCAAAAAGAAAAAAAAAAAAAAATGAAATTTTCTATTTTTAATCTTTTAAATTTCAATCATTTGAAGTGGAAAAAAAAATTTTTTTGTTAATTAAAATTAATTTTTTAAATTAAATGAAGAAAAAAAAAAGTGAAAATTTTGTTTTTATTTTTTAAAAAAAAATCACCTCTTATGCATATATCATCATTTTGATGATGGCCTGATTGCCAGTGTTCAATTTGTTCGCTTATTTCACGATCAAATTCACCAAATGTTCCACTGCTCAACAATGCCCTGAAAAATGTTTCAAATTATTATTATTATTATTATTTTCTTCTTCTTTTTCTTTCCTAAATTTTATTCAGATTTAGCATAAAATCACTGATAATAATAATTTAATAATAATATGTATTAATAATAATAATAATAACAATAATGATAAAATTAATAGAAATAATAGCGATTGATAACAGTAACAGCAGTTGATAATAATAATAACAAGAGCAATAATAACAATAATAATAATAGTAATAATAATAAATATGTGTTTTTTTTTTTAAGATTAATTAATTCACACTTTAATTTAACGAAAATTATCCCACGAATTGATTTTATCTGTTTTATTTTTTTCATATCTAAAGTTTATTTTTCCCATATTGTTGTAGCACTGATATAGTTGGGCAGTTTTTAAGTGATAAAATTAATAAATGATAGTATGATTAATATGATTAAATATAAAAGCATAAATATACTTTGTAACATTGTAAGAGAAAAACAATCAAATTAAAGCAAAATTGTAATGCAAATAATTTCTATGATTTCTCTTGAATGATGAATTTCATGCTTTATCATGAGTAAATAAAAATGTTATGAGTTGCTTTTTTATGAAAATTTGTTTATGAGAATAAGTAAACAAATAAATAAGTAAATAAATAAATAAATAAATGAACAGAACGCTCATTTCGGGATGAAATGATTTTTGATTTCCCGTGAATTGCTAGAAATTGTGCGCAATTCACCGTTCATCTTAACCGTATGACCTAATTTTTCGTTTAAAAAAAAAAAAAAAAAAAATCTTTCAGTTATCATTTACAAAGCTCAGAACTAGTCATTCTATACATTTTAACTAAATTAAAATCAAATATAATCAATAATTATCATATTGATCTCATTTCAATTAATTATTTCAGATTTGATAATCTTAGAATTTGAATAAATAGATTAATCGATTAGAAAGTTTATTTTATTATTAAATTAACTCTAATATATGCAAAGTTTATAGATGAGAAGTATGAGTAGTTAATAATGTGTAGGAAGTTTTACTGATATGATAAATTTGTAAAATTGCTGATAAAATTTACCGTTATCTCACACTCTTATTATTTGCTATTTTAGTTTCAGTTTTTTTTTTTTCTTTTTTTTAAATTTTAATTAGCAAAATTTTTTATACCAAAATTTTCATCGCTTTGATGAGAAAAAAATATATTAATATATAGAATAATTGCAATGAAATACAAGTTACTAATGCAATTTTTTTTTTTTTTTTTTAATTTTTTAAATTCGCTGATTAAATTAAAATCTGAAATGAATGCTAAATTTTTTTTTTTTTTTTTTATATTCAAAAGAAAAAGTTTCTGATCTAATGACACAACTGTTTGCCCATCGGATAGGGGCAGAACATTGACCATTGTAGAAATGACCTATGACATAATTTAAATTGATCATTTAACTGCCTAATTCATTCGTTGTAATTCAAATATTCGTTTACAAAAGTTTCAAATTTTTTCAATCTGAAAATCTGCCCTCTAATTAATTATTTTTATTTATCACTAATTTCTTTTTCTAGAAAATTAATTTTGTAACAGAATTACAAACAGTCAATTCTTTTAGTATTATAAACAAATTTAATCAAAATGTTACAATTTTGGAACATAATTGTAAACTTTTTCTTTATTGATAAGAAATTATTTGATAGCATTGATAAGATAAAAACTATATTACATTTTGTATGACACATGTCTGAATCACGTAAGTAATGATAAAAAAAAAAAAAAAATAGAAGATTGAAAAAAGTTTGTATAGCTCTCAGTTTTAAGCTTAAACCTATGTTCTAAGCATTCCACATTAGCATTTTTTTTTTTTTGTTATTTGACTTTTGCTATTATATATAAAAAGGAAAAAAGAATGATTGGTATTTTTAGCTTCTGAAAATAGGAATGTGATATAAATTTGAAAAGCAATATGCAAAATAGCATTTTAAAAGCTAAGAAACGAATAAATGAATTGAAATAAGTGAATTGAGAAAATTTAAATTATTATTATTATAAGAAATGAAATGAAAGCTATCAAAATAGAAAGAATAATAAATGAAATAATACTATTTTAATAAACATTTCATTCTATTTCATCTTCCATAAGCATTAAAAGTGTAAACTAAAAGTTAAAGTAAGCATATAACTCAGTTTATTGCTTGACTATAGCGCAAAGCGCAAATGGAAATTAACCTAGCATAATAATAGTAATGGCAAAGAGAATTATCAATCGTTAATTAAGACATTTTTGTTAATTTTAATAATGAGAAAATGAAATTATACTCGTTGGATTAACTTAGTGAATGTTTAGATTAGATTAATGGAATATATTAGAATTTGTAAATTAAAATAAAATTAATTCAAGAAAACGAGAAGAATGAAAAAAAAAAAAAAGAAATTATTCATTCATCAGACAATAGCGCCTTTTATTATCTTTCATCAAATGATGGATCAATGAATCGAATTATTTATTGGCTAGCATTTATCTCTTCCAATAAAATTAGTTAGTATAATTATAAAGAAAGCACTTCAAATATAATCAAATTAAAAATTACTAATTCTAATTTTTGATAAATTACTTGGCAATATCTTTAATGAATGATCGATTTATCAGAAGAATGATTAGTTGATTATTTATTCGTTTAATGATTGATTTTCAAAATTTTAATAATTTTAAATAATTTGAATAAATTCCATTTTTTAATCCATTGTATTACTTATTAAACGAAAACATTGTTATTGAATAACTGGGATGAAATTAACGAATGAATTTAAAAGTGTAAAATGAAAATAGGAAGAATTTAAAACAATGAATGAAATATTTCAATGAAATGATGGAAATAAGATGAAATAAAAGGAAGATAAATTGCAAAATTCGAGAAAAAAAAACAAAGAAAATTGAAAAATTAAAAATGAAGAAAAAATTGAAAGAAAAAACAGTTAAAAAAAAGAAAAAATTATCTCACCAAAAAATGCAAATAATCATAAAATGCAATGCTAATTGCTAATAAAAAAGAAAAAAAAAAATCGAAAAACTATGAGATAATTTCGATATGATAATTTCATTTTTAAAATAATATTTTGTTTATCATCAACAATCTATAAGCATAACTAAAGCTTAACAATGCTTAAAAAGTGAGAAAGAGAGAGAGAGAGAGAGAGAGAGAGAGGGAAGAGCTGAATAATTTGATCGAATTCATAAAAAATGTTCAAATCAAAAAAGTTACTTATTAATATGTGAAAAAAAAAAAAAAAATTGAACTAAACTAGGCTAATTTTAGAAATAAAATATATATTTTGAATTAACTAAATAATATAAAATAGCTGCATTATAACAAAAAAAAAAAAAAATTTAAATAATTAAAATATTTCTAATAAAATTATTAAAACACAAAATTTTCATCCATTTAAATAAAATTATATGATATAGATCTCGAGAAATATATTATCAAACAATTTGCATTTGTGAAATTCTCGAAGATAGTAAAAGTTTGACATTGTCATTGTACGAACATAAAAGCGCATAATGGCATAGGTTATAAGGATGACTAATAACTCTCAAATGCATTTATATTCCTTTTTCATCATTTGTTTGCATAAATATAAAATGAAAAAATTGTGAGAGAAAAGAAAGAAAGAAAGAGAGAGAGAGAGAGGGAAAAAGAAAAAAAGAAAAAAAAATGTATGAAATGATTTATTTCTTCTCTTTATTTTAATATTTCAAATTTGTAAGCATATTGGATTATAGCTTTATAACATATGACGTTAATAAATTTTTTACGTTAGCATTTGACGTTTAGCTAATAATTTTACGTGTAATTAATGTCATTCATAATTTATTCAATTATAGCATAAATGCAACTAACATTATAAATAAAATAATTAATTTATACTAATAAAATGTTTGATTTTAATTAATTTTATTGTTTTCTTCGTTTTTTTTTTTTTCTGATCAAAATTTAATTTTGTAATTTTTTTTTTTTTTTTAATCACTTTTTTTAATCAAATAAATTATGATAACAAATCATATCTTAATTTATATAGTTTATTTTATTAATTGATTGTTTGCAGAGGGAGGGGGGGGGGGAAAAAAAAAAAAAATGAACAGATCAAAAATTTATTATGCCAGTTTTAAATTTAATATTCTAACATTTTTCCTCACCTCCTGCTGTTCACTAAATTGTGTCATATGAAATAAATATCCTTCACGCTTGCTTTCAGATTTCAATTTATTGCACAAACAAATTGAAATTTCACTTCCTTCTCTTCAAATTTTGGCCTTGATTGAAATTTTTGAGCAAAATTTTGTTGCTATTTTATACAAAATGATTTCATGCTTTTCTATTTCTTTCTTTTCTTTCTTTTTTTTGCATTGAATTAGATGTTGTAAACGCTGTATTAACAACTGTATTCCTAATAAACAAATTTTTTAAATAGTTTAAATTTTTGAAATTCAATAATTAGTTGCTAATTTTGTTTAATATTCAAATCATTTCAATTATATTAATATTGCATTTGATATATGATACTACATTTATTTCAAATTATAAATCGTTCATAAAAATATTAAATAGGTCTTTTTTTTTTTTTTTTTTTTTAAATTTTCATTTCAAATTATAAAAATTGCTCATAAAAAATACAACTGAGATAAAATATAAATTTAAAAAAAAAAAAAAGAAAAGTGTCATTTGTATTTATTAATAAAACGTTTCTTTGTGTCTGAATAGTGATGAAGTGACAAGTTTAAATCATTAATACTTTGACAGATGAGGGATTAAATGCTATGACAGATGAGAATTAGACAGAGCATTTTTGACATGAATAATAGATGTCATCAATTTTGTCAGACAATGTCAACTGTTCATTTTTATATGAAATCATCCAAATTGTATAGTAAGAAAAATCTATCTATCAAATCACACTAATATATTTATTTATCAAAATTTTATAAATTTATCACACTAATATATTTATTTATCAAATTTATAAATTTATCACACTAATATATTATTTATCAAAATTATAAATTTATCACACTAATATATTTATTTATCAAAATTTTATAAATTTATCACACTAATATATTTATTTATCAAAATTATAATTTATCACACTAATATATTTATTTATCAAATTTTATAATTTATCACACTAATATATTTATTTATCAAATTTTATAATTTATCACACTAATATATTTATTTATCAAAATTTTATAAATTTACTATTTTCTCATTTTATAGCCAAAGATTTTAATTATATTTTAGCTAATATAATTAGACTAATTATAGTTACCTGTAATTTTATGCATATTTATAATTATTATAAATGTCACATTTCCACTTTCTTTTTTTTTAAAAAAAAAATAAATCTTAAAGAAAAAAAAAAGAACGAATAAACAAACGAATATTAGCTAATTAATTTCTCAATGCAAATTAATTAAATGAATTTTTTTTGTTTTTTTTTTTTTTTTTTTTTTTTTTGCAAATTAAAAATAAAAAGATTTTATGTAAATTTATAATAATTTTTCATTTGTTTTTGGAAAATTTAATAAATTTTTAACAAAAATCTTTATAACATAAAATAAAATTATTTTTAATATATATTTTTGTAGTAAAGGGCAAAATGAGTTATCTCTTATAAGCCGTACTGATTTTTTTTTTTTAAAAAAAAGATGAAATGTTAAAGTAATTGTTGTTTTGTTAGCATAGTTGACAAAAGGGTGACACAAATGATTAGTCATAGAATAAATCTAATCATTTTGCATTAACATTGTTATCAGTATCGATTTAACACTAAGTTCTTTAGCTATCTTTCAACCAATCAAATATTTTTAGCAATGAATGTTATCGTTTTCCAAAGGTAATTTTGATAAATTTAGTAAAATTTTTTTAGCAATAAAATGAAAATGAGCTAATCTGGAAAAAAAATGAAGAAATAACAATTATATTTTAAAGTAATTAATTAAAATAATCAATGTTTTAAGGAAAAATAAGAATATTAACAAATTGGATGAATTTTTTTTTTTTGATAATTTTGATAAATTTAGTAAAATTTTCGGGCATTTTTTCAATAAAAAAATTTTTCTTCAATTTTAGCAAAATTTTCTAGCATTTTTTTAAAATTTCCTTTCAATTTTCACTAATTATGATATTATAAAAATAAATTTAATGTAAGAGTTGGTCTGTCAAAGTGATCAAAATGATATCAGTAAAGTCAACAAATCATAAAGCGAAATGTATGCACAAATATTTGTCGATTAGCTTTCACGCTTATCACTTTTAAATAAGTGACAAACAAATATTTTATGAATGCTTTGATTGGGTTTTGTGAAAAGTATGAATAATATGAAATGTGTACATATTGAAAGATAGATCAATCGATTAGCTGAAAAACTACGATTATCTTTCAAAGTATTACTTTGTACTTTGTAATACTTTGAAAAAATGAGTAAAATTATTCATAAAAATTAAATTTTACTAATCAAATAGTTTTAGAAAAAAAAAATTAATAAAATTGATGTCAATATAACTAATTATTTATGAATCAAATGTGCAAATATTTCTTTTTATTGAAAAATTAAAAATGATTAAATTGAAAAGTAACATTTGCAGAAGGCTTAAATAGCATTCATCGAAACATTTCGTTTAAATAACCGACAACTTCTGATAATTAAAATTACTAAAATTAATTAAGGTGAATGATTAATAAAGCAGCGCGAAGTGAAATTAAAATTTTGTTAATCACTATCTGCAAAAAGTGAAATTTAAATAAGTTTGAATTTAATCAAGACATGCATGCATCATTCGCTGGAAAGAAGCAAAGTAATAAATAGTATATTTTAAGAAATGAAAATATTTTCTGTTAAACAAATCAAAATTATTTAAGAAAATTATTATTTTTTTCTTCTTTCGTGTTTGTAAATTAATTAATTTAAATTGATAAAATTTAAATTAATTTAAATTGATAGAAAAATAGCATAAAAGTTTATTGTTTATCAAATAGATTGGTTGACAATAATGGAAAAGGAAAAGGGTAATTCAGGAAATGCTAAAACCGGAAATGCATATTATTAATTTTAATTACTAACTATAGTAGTACCATCAAGTTATTTATTGTTTACAGCAACAGATTGAGTGCTCTTAGGAAAACATAAAATTTATGATTGATTTATTTTTGAGAAAAAATAGTATCATAGTTTGAGAGATTAAAAACGACGAATGAATTTGGCACTGAGATGGAAGGAAAAAAAATGAAATAAAAATACATATAAAGAGAGTAATGATTAGAATTGAATGCGACATTAGCGCTTCGAATTTACATTGTTGAAAATGGCGACAAAGTGATTATAAATGGAATAAAATATCTTTTAAAAATTTTCAAAATGTAAAATTTGTGGGAGAAAAAAAAAGTTATTACTTTTAATTAAGAAAGAAAAAAAAGAGACTATCTTATATGTTTGAAAAATAGCAATTAAGTTAATTTCATTTAATTTCAACTAGCATTTATAATAATTAAATTTTTTCTCATCTATTTTCTTTCCAGATATTTTAATTAATTTGAGAAAAATGCAATAAGATAATTTCAAAATTATTATTAAAGATGTTTTTTTTTTAAAAAAAAAAAAAAAAAATAAAATTACCAAGTCAATTTGAAGTTACTTACTTTTACAGAAAAACAAACAATTTATTTCATTCATTAATTCGTTAAAAAAAAAAAATCTAAATATAGCAAATATAGCAAAATTAATAGTTAGAAGCATTTCAAACTTTTCTCACCTGAAATTAAAATGAAATCAGAAAAAGAAAAAAAGGAAAGGTTATATCAAAGATAGAAATTAAAGGGAAAAAAAAGTAGAAGAATAAATGATAATTATGAAAAAAAAAAAAAAAGGGAGAGAAAGGACAGGTAAAAGAATATTATACCTTATTTGGTTGACACGTTCGCTGACATTCAATTCTGAAATTATTCAAATTAGAATGCATAAATAATTATATCCATATATCATGATACTTTCATATAAGAAGATTATCATTTACAATTCCAAGGTCATACCTATCTATATTATAAAGTAAATAAAATGCTCAGATTATTTTAAATTACAAAACAAATAAAAATAAAAATTCTAATTAATAAAATTTGCTTTTTGCAAGTAGCGCAAAATTTTATCGGTCAGAAAATTTTAGATGGAAAAATTGTTTCTGCAAAAAATAATAATTAATTTTTGTAATTTTTATTTTAAAAATAATAATTATTAATTTTATCTTTTCTGAATAATTTCCAATAAAAAAATGTGTAATTTTTTTTTTGTTGAGATTTATTTCTTGTAATTTTATCAAAGTTATAAAATAATACAATATAATTTAGTTAGCTATGGCTTATTTATAATTTTAATTATTTTTAATTAGTATAATTGTATAATAAATTTTGATTGAAAGAATTTATTACGAATTTCATCTGAGATTCACCAAATTACTTTATGCATTTTAAAATAAACATACAAAGGAAAAAACAAAAACAAAAAGATTATCACAAGAGTTATCAGTTATAATAATCACTGATAATAAAAGCTAAAATTTTATTGTACATTTCAAATAAAAATTATTTCGTTAAAATTATTAATGATAATCAATTCTCGATAACATAAATATTTTGCAGCGTACGTGTACGTAAAGTACATCAAATATTCATTTTAATGTTTTCAAAAAGAGAAAAGCAAAAAGAAAAAAGAAAATGTCACTAACAAAATGCAACATTTAATGCAATACGTACAAAAAAGTTTTTTTAACAAAAAAAAAATTTCCGTCAAATATTTTATTTCATTTCAAAAAAAAAATGAAATTAAATGAAGTACCATTGATTTAGATTTAAATAATTTGAGTAAAAATAGAAAGGAAGAAAAAATTAAAATTTTGAATTGGAATTAACTTATCACTAGAAACAGACAAAACATAAAGAATGGAATATATACGCTGCCACGTGTGAAAAAAACGTGTAAAAAAACGTGGTAACATGAAAGTAAAATTAATTTAAGTATAACAGAAGTAGAAAATCAATGAGTAAAAGTTAATTAAATTTTTTATAAGTAGAGGAAAAATAAAGCACTGAAAGTAAAGTATCAAAGTGATGTATTATACCAATAGCGCTTTTAAAATGGAATGGCGGAATTGTCTGAAGTAAAATACATCAGAATTAAGTTTTTTTTTGAAATATTAAATTCGAATTTTCAATAAACGAAATGAAAAAAAAAAAATTAAACGAGGAAATAAAATGGAATAATAATATGAAATGATTAGTTGTTTTGATAATTTTTGTGATAAATATTATAAATCATAAATTATAGAAATTCTATTTTTTTTTTTTTTTTTTTGTTTGAAATGATTTAAATTCTTTGACAATTTCTTCTCAAAAAAAAAAAGAAAATGCAAATTTTCTAAATTTTTTAATCAAAAAAAAAAAAAAAAAAAAAAAGTTCCTACTAATTACTATCGCTTATTCTTTCCAATAAACAAAGCGCTGACATTTTGCGCTTGTTTATACATTAAGAGATTATAAGCTTTTTTCATTGTTAAAAATGAAAATAAATTCAAAAATTTGCTTAATAGCATTTTTGTTGATAAATAAATTCCTTCGTCTAAAAAAATCTAATTTGAAAATGAATATTTTTAATTTCACTTAACCAAAAAATAATTTATTTCTGAATTAATTTGCTTCTTTTTTCCAATAATTTTATAATAATTAAATTCAAATGATAAATTTAATTTTTTTTAAATTTTACAAAAAATTTGAATCATTTTAGGATATTAAACTAGTTTATGAAATAAATTAACACGTATAATACGTGAAATGATAAGTGCAAAATTATGAAGAATTTCCAATGTAAAAATTAAGAATTCCAAAAAAAAAAGAAAAGCAAATAATATTAGAAGTGAATGCAAACTTAATCATTTTTTCTACACGTTCATGTTGACGTAACGTACCTATTTCACGGCTCTAAAATATATTTCATAAAATTTAAATATTAAATTATCAAAAAAAAAAGTATGTGTACAGCATTTGATTGCCAAAATTAAATTTCTTTTATTGAAATTAGTAACTTTCTTTCATTTCAATATAGCATTTCTTCGTCTTTTTCTTTCTTTTTGCTTTTTGTTTTTTTTTTTTTTTAATTTAACAAATTTCAAATGTGCGTCTAATTGAAATAAAAAATATTAGTGCAATCATAGAATAAAATTTAAAATTGGTCAATTTTAAAAAATATAATAATTCATTTAATTAGGTTTTAATTAGGTATTTATTAAAGATATCTACAATGAGTATTAAAAGTGAACGAATTTAAAAGAATTTTGTTAAATTCATTTGAAAAAATCACCGAAACGATAATATTTCATTTGAGAGTATTTTTAAAAAATTGAAATTTATAATAAAAAATATTGAGATATGAAGTTGAACAATAAAATCAAAAGCAAATTTATCAATTATGAAAAAAAAAAAAAAAAAATGAATCAAAAATGCATAAGGCAAAATTCCATTTGTACTGAGTCATTTCCGCTTCAGTTCAATTTAATTAACAAATCATTAACTCAATGAAATGTTCTGTTAACAATACTGATAAGAATAGCTTAATTTTTCATCAGTGATAAAGAAGATTAGCATTTCTAAACCTTATTTAAAAGTTAATTTGTGTAAAAAGCTTTTCAAAATGTTTTAAAATTTCTTTCAAACATTAAAAGTGAATGATTATAAGCGCAATTTTTACCTATTCACAATAGAAAAATGAAATTTTCAGAGAGAGAGAGAGAGAGAGAAAAAAAAAGTTTTCAAAATTGAAATCAATGATATGATAAATAATAATTATCAATATTGATTCAACAAAAGAAAAAAAAAAAGGAAATAATATTTTTTTTTTGGCGTTCTTAGCAAGTATTAATGAGGATTGATGACTAAGTGAAAAAGAATTTAGGTGTAAAATTTGAATGAAAGCTTTTCATATGGCGGAAAGATCAATTGAAAAAAAGAAAGAAAAAAAAAATGTGGGAAACTAACATTAAAATATATTGCATTTTATGACATTAAAATTAAATAAAATTGACAAATATTTAGAAATTTTCAAGCATTCAAAAGTTTTTTTTTTTTTTTTGTAAACAAACATTAAAATTTTAATTAAAATGATTAGTTATTAGTACATTCTAACAAATCACTAAATCTTTTAATTTTTTTTTTTTTTTTTGTTTTAAAAATTTGATTTTTAAAATTTTAATTTTTAAGCAAAACAAAATGAAATATTTGATGTTAATATGAATTTGCTTCAATTCATTAACAAATTTTTTAATTTTGTTAATATTTTTCTACATTCTGTTGTACGATAAAAATTAGTTCATTAAAAAGTTGAAATTTTAAAATTAATTATTCCATTTTTTTTTTTTTAATTTTATACCTAAAATATTTACTTGAATTTTTGTTCTTTTTTTCTTGTTAAAGTGAATGTTGTAAAGTTAGTTTAAAGTTTCGAATTTTAAAATGTATCATTCCGGAAATGATAACAATCATGCAAATATTCATTTTATCAACGTTTATAATTTAAAAAATTTTTATTTTTCAAATTAGTTTTATTCAAATTAAGCATATATTATTATTATTGTTGTATAATAGAAATTTTCTTAAGATCAATTGAAATTGACATTGAATTAATATAAATTTGAAGAATGAATTTATAACTTTTATTGAAATAGTAGCAATTAGATGGAAGAATTCAACAAGAATTGAAAACGATTTGTTAAATTTTCAACAATTGATGAATGATTGAAATGCACTCTTGACCGCATTTATTAATTTATTGGTTTTATATTTCGAATAATTTTCATATTTCATTTCTCAAGTATAATCTTTTGGATTAAAATAATAACGCCAGCAGTTTAACGGATCATTTTTCAAATTTTATTACTATAAAAAATAAGCAAATACAAATAGAGGCGATAAATTTTACGTGAATCCTACGTGAATTACTACTTTAGCAAGTCTGCAAGTTACAATTAAAAATTACGAATTAAGTAATAATTAGTGTTTTTTTTTTTTTTTTGAATTTAAAAGGATATTAGAAGGATAAGTTATGATAATTGAAAGCAGCATTTTTAGTGATTGCTTATCATTATTTATGTGATAATTGATTTGATAAAAAAATTCCTTTGATGAATTTTCTTCGATGATAATTTCATAATTAAAATGAAACTATTCTTTATTCGATTAATTATATTAATTAACTGTTCAATTTAAGTAGTTTATAAAAATTATAAGGTTAGCAGGTTGAATTTAATTAATTAATTAACTAATTAAATGATGAAATCGAATTTAATTAACTAATTAATTAATTAATTAACTAATTAAATGATGAAATCGAATTTAATTAACTAATTAATTAAATACTGTAGCTAATTAACTGAATAAAATTAAATATATTTTAACATAAAAATTAATTCCGTTCATTTATGCCTACCATATACTTTATTATCATTTATTTCAAAAAAAAAAAAAAGAAAAGAAAAACATTTTATTAATTAATTTGCACTTTGCATCTACCAATGTTTAACTTTAACTTAGTACTTCATTAAGAGTTATAAAAAAGAATTATATAAAAAAAATTGAGTAATAATTATTACTATAATATTGTTTTCAATTCTAATTTGAAGAAATGTATGATTTAAACGACTTTATGATCAATAATTATCAAACAAATTATCATCAATTATTAATCATTAAAATTTCATTCAAAATTTTGAAAAAAGTGAAGAAGACGAAAAAAAAAAAAAAAAAAAGATTGAAAAGAATTCATCGCATATGAATTATTTAATTTAATTTAATTTTATTAATTTAATCAAAATAAACAAGATTAACTTAAAAATTAAAAATTAATTATTTATTAAAAAAATTTAATAATTACCTTTTAATTCATGATCAATTCTTATTCGAGTTATAGCATTTGGTGAATAATCCAACAAACGATTGAGAAATTTTAAGCATATGCATATGATCTGTGCTCTTTCAGTTTGTTGAAGTTCACTTGAAATTGGTTCCAAACAATAATTTGCACCAATTAAATCCTAAATATTTCCTAGAATTTATGATCAATGATTTTAATCGAATTTTGTGATAATATTTAAGTTCAAATTTGCTGAAAGAAACAAAAAAAAATATATGTAAATTTAGTTTTGTTTTGTGAAATTAAAATTTTTGTAACATTTTGCTGTTTTTTTTTTTTTAACTAAATATAAAAATGTAGAAGAAATTGTGCGTTTTAGAAAAGCTAACAAAGCTAAAATTCAATTGCTTTCAATTTTTTTTTTTTTTTTTTTTTTGAAATTTTTGAGAAAATATGTTAAAAATGATAAATTGATAATCTTATACTTTAATTATGTTTGATAAGCTATCAATAATGTTTATTATCGCATTTTGATTTATTTATTTGAATTTATCATCAATGAGAATTTTGAATGATTTTTCATCTTTTTGTTTTTTAAATTAAATGATTGTTTTTAATAATTAAAGTAAAATGCTTTACCACTAGAATGCTAAATATTTGCTAGAATTTAGATAACCAAACTGAAATAAAATCAAACTGAGATGAAATCAAACTGAAATAAAATCAAACTGAAATGAAATCAAACTGAAATAAAATCAAACTGAAATGAAATCAAACTGAAATAAAATCAAACTGAAATGAAATCAAACTGAAATAAAATCAAACTGAAATGAAATCAAACTGAAATAAAATCAAACTGAAATGAAATCAAACTGAAATAAAATCAAACTGAAATGAAAACAAACTGAAATAAAATCAAACTGAAATGAAATCAAACTGAAATAAAATCAAACTGAAATGAAATCAAACTGAAATAAAATCAAACTGAAATGAAAACAAACTGAAATAAAATCAAACTGAAATAAAATCAAACTGAAATGAAAACAAACTGAAATGAAATCAAACTGAAATAAAATCAAACTGAAATGAAATCAAACTGAAATGAAAACAAACTGAAATAAAATCAAACTGAAATGAAATCAAACTGAAATGAAATCAAACTGAAATGAAATCAAACTGAAATAAAATCAAACTGAAATGAAATCAAACTGAAATAAAATCAAACTGAAATGAAATCAAACTGAAATAAAATCAAACTGAAATGAAAACAAACTGAAATAAAATCAAACTGAAATAAAATCAAACTGAAATGAAATCAAACTGAAATGAAATCAAACTGAAATGAAATCAAACTGAAATGAAATCAAACTGAAATAAAATCAAACTGAAATGAAAACAAACTGAAATAAAATCAAACTGAAATAAAATCAAACTGAAATAAAATCAAACTGAAATGAAAACAAACTGAAATGAAATGAAATCAAACTGAAATAAAATCAAACTGAAATGAAAATCAAACTGAAATGAAATCAAACTGAAATGAAATCAAACTGAAATAAAATCAAACTGAAATGAAATCAAACTGAAATAAAATCAAACTGAAATGAAATCAAACTGAAATAAAATCAAACTGAAATGAAATCAAACTGAAATAAAATCAAACTGAAATAAAATCAAACTGAAATAAAATCAAACTGAAATGAAATCAAACTGAAATGAAATCAAACTGAAATAAAATCAAACTGAAATGAAAACAAACTGAAATAAAATCAAACTGAAATGAAATCAAACTGAAATGAAATCAAACTGAAATGAAATCAAACTGAAATAAAATCAAACTGAAATGAAAACAAACTGAAATAAAATCAAACTGAAATGAAATCAAACTGAAATGAAATCAAACTGAAATAAAATCAAACTGAAATGAAATCAAACTGAAATGAAATCAAACTGAAATGAAATCAAACTGAAATGAAATCAAACTGAAATAAAATCAAACTGAAATGAAATCAAACTGAAATGAAATCAAACTGAAATAAAATCAAACTGAAATAAAATCAAACTGAAATGAAATCAAACTGAAATAAAATCAAACTGAAATGAAATCAAACTGAAATGAAATCAAACCTGCCAACATGAAAGGCATTCGATTGCAAGTTCAAAACCATTTTTACTTTGAATTAATCGATTTAATAAATCAACTATTCCAACTGTATCAGTTCCTAAAATCAAAATATTTTCATTATACAAAAGGAAAAAAGTAAATAAATAAAAATATTTAATAATTTATAAATAAAAAATTTTTGAAACAAATCATAGAAAAATAAGAAAATTCTGCAAAATATATATATATATATATATCAATAATTTTAGTTTATTTTAAATTTTCATTTACTAATTCAAAAAAAAAAATAAATTTATCAAATGAATTAGATAATGCAATTGAAGCAATCAGCTAAATGTTTAATTAATTTTCATTTTTAAAAACGCTAATTATTACTTAATGATTCATTTCTATCTGAAATTGATTTTTTATCAATTTTTACGAGAAATTTTATCACTGATAACTAATATAATAATTTAAATAACTAATATAATAATTTAATATTATACTGTAACAATGAGAAATTTTTGTGACAAAATTTTATTCTTTTTTATTTTAACGCATTTGATTAATTTTTAAAATGCTATGATACAAAAAAAAAAAAAAAAAAAAAAGGCAATGGACAATGAAATTACAAGAAATTATGTTAAAAATTCAATTGTAGGTTAATCAGTGTACCTTTGAAAATAAACAATGAATTTTTATTTTTTAAAAATGTGTATTTACTTCTAAATATTTAAATTAATAAATCAAATTTGTTGAAATTTGATAAAGTTTATCAATAACTCGCTATTTGATCATAATTAATTAATCTTTTATCACAAAAATACGAATATTTCAGTATGCAAATATATATATATATTTTTTTAAATTATATAAAATGAATGAATAACACATTTTAAACTATTGTACTTTACATCCTTAATTTATTTGATAAATATTAAATGTGAAAAAAAGAAAAAAAAAGTTTACAAATGATTGTTTAACAAACTGCCAACAAATTATATTTAAAAAAAAATTCATTTTTCTTTTTTTTTTTTATGTTTTACATTTGTTGAAGAGATAATTTGTTATGTACAATTTTACATTTTATTTCCTTTCTTACTTTTCTTTACTTTCTTTTTTTTTTTTTTTTTTTTTTTGTAAACTTAATAGTTTGGTATAATTATTTTGTAAATGTAAATTATTAGATATAAAAAAAAGAAAAAGGAAAAACATTTCTTCCTATTAACAAAAATATCAAAATAACAGAATTTACTAATTATATACCTAAAAAAATGAAAAAAAAAAAAAAATTAATAAGAAAGAAATAAACACATAAACAATAAATAAATAAATAAATAATCAATAAGCATTTTGTTTTCTTTTTAATTGATTATTAATATCTTTTTTAGTAATTTTTTTTTTTACTAAATAATTAAAAATTTTGTTTTTTAATTAAATGATCAGGAAAAATTCTATTTTTTTATGAATTAGCAATAAATTTTTTAATATTTTTTATTAATTAATTAAATATTCTGTTTTTTTATTAATTAATTAAATATTCTGTTTTTTTATTCATTATTTTTTTATTTTACGAATTTTTTAATGAACCAAATAGTGTTTTGGGGTTTATAAATTTTTTATTTTAAAATAATCAGTTGGAACTGTTTAACAGTATTCAAATCTAGGGATCATTCATAGAACAAATTCTTAAAAAAGTACCTTTGATAAACTGATCAATTATCAATGATAATAAAATGATTATAAAATTCGTAATAAAAAATTTTTTCCTCACTAATTTAAAAAAATTAAAACACTAAAAACCATAAATATTATAAGATTAAAAGTATACCATAAATTAATGAATGCTCAATTTTTTTTTATTTAATTTTAATAAATGTATAATTTCTCTTTAAAAAAATTAATTTAGAATAAATATTCAAATCCAAATTATTATTACTATTATTTTAATTAAAGATTATTATTTTAACCAAAGTTTTTCTTTTTCATTGAAATAAGTAAATGAAAAAAGTAAAAAAAATTTTTTTTTGAAATTATTTTTTTGCTTGATTTCATATATTTTATTAAAAATTTTAAAATATATTTCCAATATTTTGAAATAACTCTTTATTTCAACAAAGAAAAAAAAAAAAAACTTTAGTTAAGTTAGTTTTTTTTTTTTTTTTTTATAAAATGAAATGAAAATGAAAGTAAAAATACCATAAAGATATTGTGTGAAATATTTTCCAGGACAGCGTTGAATTTCCTCCAACAATAAACTATCATTCAATTTCTCTTCTTCATTCATTTTTTTTTTTTTTTACAAATTTCAAAAACAGAATATTTCTTTTAGAAAAAGCATACACTCTTCTTTTAATTGAGATAAAATTAGTAAATATTTCTTTACAGTTAGTTAAAATAATTTACTTTATATTAATTAGTAAATATCGTAAGCTACATTTGTGCTTATTATTATTATACAATAATTGTGGTAACAATAATATAGTAGCAGTAGCAGTAATAGTAGTAGTATTAGTAGTAGTTATTGTTGTTGTTAATATTATTATTGTTGTTATTATTGCGGTTGTTGTTTTCGTTGTCGCTGCTGTTGTTATCGTTGTTGTTGTTGTTGTTGTTGTCGTTGTCGCTGCTTTTGTTATCGTTGTTTTGTCGTCGCCGCTGTTGTGTTGTTGTTGTTGTTGCCACTGTTTATTTGTAAACAGTAACCAGCTGCTATAAATAATGACAGTTTTTTTTTTTTTTTTATTTTTAAATGTGCGACAAAATTAGTTTTTCCATTGCGGTAAAATATATTAAATAACTTTTCCATTTCTTTTATGCTTTTTATGCTGCCGCACCTGTCTTTTCTTTAAAAAAAAAAGAAAATAAAAATAAGAGAAAGGACAATAATAGCATTAAGAAATTTTCCGATAAAATGAAAACGAAGAAAAAAGAAAGAAAAAAAAAAAAAAACTCTCATTACAAATATTATTCCACCAATTTCTCTCTTTTTTTTTCAAAAAATATCACATTTTCGAAAATTAATTTTAACTTGAAATTAGCTTTTAACAAAAATAAACATAAAAGACAAATATGTACAAATAATTTTAAATTATAAATTGTGCATTTTGGTTAGTTTATTAGAAAACGGTACAATGTTCCACCAATAAGATCAAAAAAAATAAAAATAAAAAAACAAAAAAAAGAAAAATGAAAGAAAAAAAAAAAAACATCCGATTATTATTAAAGTGTTATTCAGAGAGATAAAATAAAGAAATTTTTTCTATTTAGTTTATTACAACAAAAATTTTATTTTACATTTTATTTTTGTCAGAATTAATGATTTTATAATTTTTAATTAAATTATAAATTATATTTTAAATTAAAACATTCATTATAATTTTTAATAATTGAAAAATTGAAATTTTTAATAATTTATTATAATTTTTAATAATTAAGTTCAATTTAATAATTTCAAAAAGTGTGAGTTTAGATTTAATTATAAAATTATTTATAATAATTAGAAATAATATTATTAATTGGAGTATTTAATTGTGAAATAAAATTAAATGCATTATGAAATAAAAAAATGAAATGTTGAAAGTAAGTTCAATTTAATAATTTGAAAGTGTGAATTTAGGTTTAAATTATTTATGATAATTAGAAATAATATTAATTTAATAATAATTAATAAATATATTGTAAATAAATATAAAGAATATTTAATTATGGAATAAAATTAAATAAATTATCAAATAATGAAATGAAATGAAACAAATTTGTAAAACGAAATTATTCAATAACAGTTATCAAAGTTATACACTGATAAACAAAACTGATAAATGATAAATAGTGCAACAGTAAAATATATCAAAAACTGAAAAGCACAAATAAGCAATTTGTTTTTAAAAAAAAAAAAAAAAAAGAAAAAAATGGAAATAAATGAGAGTTTCTCGTCAAATAGGCACCATTGGTCATTCATTTTATCGCATTGCTTCATTTGATGACTGATTGTATAAGTAGGCGGTATTTGATCAAATAAAAAAGAAAATTAATAAAAATATTTTAAAAATATTTTCTAATTTCAATCAGTGTTTTTTTTAATTTTCAATCAAACAATTATTATTGTTTTTTTGCATCAATTTTATTTACTATTAAATTATTTTCAAATTAAATCAGTAAATAAAAAATTTGCATTAGTTACAAGTGATAGAAACGATCAATCATATAAATTAATTAAATTAATTTAGCGGAAAATTATTTCAAAAAGATATTTGCATACTATTTGGCATATTTCATTTATTTGTTGAAAGAAATTTTAACTTAATAAATAGCATAACTTTGAAGTTTTAAGAAGTTTCAAATAATGTTTAAAAATCGTTGTAACAAATTTAATTATTTTGAAGTAAAGTATGCAAAAATTAGATTTTGGAAAATAAGAATGAATAAAATGAGAACTGAAGCATAGAAGAAATTATTTTAATAATTCTGTATGATAACAAAAATGATTATTAAGTAAAAAAAAGTTAAAATTTGAAATATTGTTTTTTTTTTAGGTTCTAAATAGGATTTTAAATAAATGCGCATTTAATAATTTAAAAAGAGAGAGAGAGAGTGAAGTCAGTTATCCGAGATATTATTAATTAATTTAACATATCGTTCATTTGCTTAAATATGGCACAAAAGCGCATTTGTCTCGTTTTTTTTTTTTTTTTTAATACTTCACTATTTTTATTTAAATTGCTCACCGATGCATTTTTTAAAATTATATTCTAAACCAAATGATAATGTGTACATTTCAATGGCTTTATAACATAGTGCCAATAATATATTAGCATTTTATGACAAAAGCGCTCAAAAAAAAAAATAAAAAAAAAAAAAAAACCATCCACCATTTTTACGGATAATTTTTAGTTTAAAGTTTAAAATGCATACATAACATAGTGATTCCATCGAATGTAAATTAAAATTTTTGCTGTAAAAATGCAATTAATTTTAATTTTTAGGATATTTTTATATCAATTTTACTAAATTTAATAAATTAAATTCAAATTAAAATATGTTGCAAAAGTCAAAATTAAATCAAAATTGCATTTCAGTTTTGATAAATAAATTTTAATTTAAATAAAGAAATTCGATTATTTATATTTCTTGTTATTATGACATTTTTCATTAATTTTCTTTCAATTATTTCATTTATTTCAATTTCTTTTGTTTTTTTTGCCAATAATATTACTTTAATTTGTCAACAAAATTTCTTTCTTTTTTTTTTCTCATCAGTAATTTTTTAATTTTGATATTCATTTTGAAATATTCAATGGTACTTAAATTCTGAATTACCACTTATCAAAAATTTCCCATCTCGTTTTTGTTTTTGTTTTTTTTTTTTCAGATACTTGAAATTTTAATTAAAATAATAAATAAAAACAAGAAAAAAACAATAAATAATAATACACATTTAATCAAGAAATTAAGCACAGATGGCAATATTATTAATTAAGGAAAAAATTCAAATAATAATTTAAATTAATAAATAAAATAAAACAATCAAATTTTTTAATTTTCAAATGAAAAATAAAATTTAACATAGTCTAATAATATAACTATTTATATAGTCAACAAAAAACGAAAAAATAAAAATGTGTAAATGTGATGAGAGAGAGAGAGGGAGGGAGGGTCAGAGAGAAAAAGGAAGAAATGAATGGAATAGGAAAATTAGTAACAAAAGTATTTATATAATCATTTTTTTTTTTTTTTAAAACAAAGATAACAAAGTTTCAAAAAAAAAAACAGAAAGACAAGAAAGAAACATTTTTCACTTTTTTTTTTTTCAATGAAAAAAAAAATTTTTTTTTTTTTTTATTGTCTAACTTTTATATTTGTAATGGATGCTATTATCAATTATAATGGAATAATTTCAAACTAAAATGATTAGTTAACTAAATGAATGACAATTGAAAGAGATCGTTTAAAAGTAAAGCAAAGCATTTTGTGATTTATAACTTTCTTTTCTCTTTAAATTTTCCAAATGGCGCAAAATGTTTCGTACAACAAAAAAAAAAAAAAAAAAAAAAGAAAATATAAAATCTCACTACTTAGTACCAGTTGCACTTTTTTTTTTCCTCTCTCTCTCTCTCTCTCTCTAAAGTATTAGCTTTTATTAGTTTTATTGATTTGCTTGAATTTATTGCTATAATTTTGGCGCAAATGGATTTTGCAAATTTATCAAATTTAAATTAATACTGGTATATATGATAGATTAATGTATATATTTTTAGACGATATTAACGGAAGTATTTTAGTTTTACAAACTGTTTGTTATAAATCATTCAAAAAATTTGAACCATTTTATTGAAGGATAGCAAAATATTTTTGCGCCAAACAATTTTGCACTTTATTTGTTAGCAAAATGAAATTTAATTTTAAGTATTAAATATTTCTATTTGATATTTCACTCTTTTCTTTACTAACAAAATTTGCAACTTTTTTTTTTTTTCCATCGTTTTTAACTGATCCTAAAATTAATGATTGTAAAATTAAAAGTTTTCAAAAAAGTGATAATAATTAGGATGGGTTGAAAAAAAAAAAATAATATTTGACAATTCCTAGATATTAAGGTTAAGCATTCAAATTGAGAAACTTAATTGGTTTGAAATTTTATTTAATAAATTTTGGATCTTGTTTACAAAAATATTATTTAAAAAAAAATATTTGAGAATTTGCATGAAATTTTAACTTTTTTCGATTAACTTTTTTTCCTAAATTTTTTTTTAGATTTAAATTAGATATTTTAACTAGACGGAATAATTAATTTAAAAAAAAATGCTTAATATCTTCATCAATAAATTCAATTAAGCCTATTAAAATATTTGTGGTTTTGAGTAAATGACCAAACTGCATTTTATGACTTATTTGAATAAAATTATAATTTATAAAAAGCAATGATTTGACACACGCATACAACACAATTTTATCTAAAATTATCAAAATTGTTTTAAAAATGATTTTTTTATTAAATTAAATTTTTTTTTAAAAAAAAGAGCAAAAGTTTGCGAAGATGAAGAAAGAAAGAGAAAGCAAAGCAATTAATGAATAATATTTATCAAATTTAAACAATCCTTCAAATAGTATGACCCATCTGAGGATGAACTTATGGTCAGAGTTATTGACCCATCTGAGAATGAACTTATGGTCAGAGTTATTGACCCATCTGAGAATGAACTTATGGTCAGAGTTACTGACCTATCTGAGGATGAACTTATGGTCAGAGTTACTGACCCATCTGAGGATGAACTTATGGTCAGAGTTATTGACCCATCTGAGGGTGAACTTATGGTCGGAGTTGTTGACCCATCTGAGGATGAACTTATGGTCAGAGTTACTGACCTATCTGAGGATGAACTTATGGTCAGAGTTATTGACCCATCTGAGGATGAACTTATGGTCAGAGTTATTGACCCATCTGAGGGTGAACTTATGGTCGGAGTTGTTGACCCATCTGAGGATGAACTTATGGTCAGAGTTATTAACCCATCTGAGGATGAACTTATGGTCAGAGTTATTGACCCATCTGAGGATGAACTTATGGTCAGAGTTACTGACCTATCTGAGGATGAACTTATGGTCAGAGTTATTGACCCATCTGAGGATGAACTTATGGTCAGAGTTATTGACCCATCTGAGGATGAACTTATGGTCAGAGTTATTGACCCATCTGAGAATGAACTTATGGTCAGAGTTATTTTCCTATATTAATAATAAAGCAAATTTTGTTTGTAAAAAATTTTTTCAGGAAACTATAAAGATTAGAATGCATAATCGATCAAACAAACAAATGAATCAATTATTTACTGTTCTATTAAATAGTTTTAAATTCCGATAGGAAAAAAAAAAGTAACAAAGATTTTCCACTTATACTCAATAATTTCTCTCCTATTTAATATTTAAAATTTAAAACATTTAAGTTTTATTTTTTGATGGCAAAATTTTTTGATTTCACTTTTTGAAATGTTTAAATAAAAATATTTCATAAATAGCGTTTGAATAAAATGTTTGCAAAATGTATTTGCCTTTATTTGAGTGCAACAATTTCTTATTTGCTCACATTTACTTATTTGTACAGGTAAAATATATTATTTAGTACTATGAGTTATTGTTAATTTAATCAAATAAAAATCAATCAATTATTATCAAATAAACTTTATTTGAAAAAGTACTTCCTTTTTCAACGTATAATTTTCAAACTTTTTAATTTCAATCAAATAAAAGAAATAATTTAGTATGATAAATTGAAATTTAAAACTAGTTTATTTAATCACCAAATATTCACATATAATAATTTATCTAAATATGTTTATCTAATAACAAATTATCACTTTAATTTTTCTAATTATTTTTATCTGATAATAAAGTATCACTTAAATATTTATCCGTGAAACAAAAAAAAAGTAAAAAAAAAGTGATTCAGTTAATAAATTTTAGTTCACGTCTAACGAGAATACACGTGAACGTAACAATAATAAGTAAACAATTGAAAAGAAGCAAATCATTGTTTAATAAATAGATTGCAATCATCAAAAATTCATACATTATACCCATCTCTCTTTCATATCTCTCTAAAAATCAAAAATTAAACTGTTGAAATGGATGAAAGAATGGAATTTAATATTTAAAAATATTTTAAGAAAGCTCTACCAATAAAGAAAGTAATGATTAATTAATTAAATATTTGATTAATTAAATGTTCAAAAATAATTGTGGTAAATAATAGTTAATGAAAATACAAGCATACTAATTTCTCTAAATTGTACAAAAGAGATTTTTTTTTTTTTTTGAACATTTTAAATTAATTAAATAATAAAAAAATTTCAAAGAAAAAGGTAACCACAAAAGGAAAATTAATTTATCATATAATTAATTTTAAATATATAAATAAATTAATTTGCTGACATTATGATTGTTTACTTATTAATAATAATAAGTTAATTGTATAGTCAAACTTTACTTTAATCTTACAAATATGTATAAAGTAATAATGACTTAAAGAAATTTAATACTTAATTATTGCCAATTATCATCTAATCTATCTTTTAAAATAGATTGAAACTTTAACAATTGATTACTTTTTAAAAAGAATATTGTAACGAAACACTTTGCTAAGATTATGGTACATTTCAGTTTTTTCAAATTAAAAAATTTCAAATTAGACAATTCGTAATTGATAAAATAACCAAAGGATAGAGTAATTGCAGTACCGGAAAAAAATATAATATTGAATAGTCTTTGTAAGATAAAAAATTGAACTTTAAAAAAAAAGAAAAATGATTTGAAATTTGTGGGTATATCGTCAATTCTTTTTTTTTTTGATTTCATCACTAAGTGGTAGAAATTCATAATTATACCTCAAAAAAGAAATAATCGTAGATAAGAGGTGGAACCATTGAATCACTCAAAAATTGTCACCTGTTATTGCAGAGCTTTAAAGAGAGAGAGAGAGAGAGAGAGAGGGAGAGAGAGAGAGGAAAGAAAAATTTATTATCATCCACAAGCAATTATTATTTATATTTTTACAAAGAAAGAAAAGAAGAACGATTCTATGAAGAAATAATTATAAATTCCAAGAAGTAATAATATTTCATTTTTGAATATTTAAAAAAATAATTTCCTTTGAAGTTGTCGACGAAGTTAAATTAATAATAGAAGTTAGATAAATTCAAATAATATCAGAATGTCTTAGAATGACTAAACAGATTAAGATAATCTATAGAGTACAAAATTTACCAATTATAGGTAAATTATAGGTATCATGCTATGTAATAGTTTATAAATACCAAAATGCTCTATGCTAATAAAGTACAAAAGGTACCAATTGCAAGTACCATTTATTAGTTTATAAATATCAAAATGCTCTATGCTAATAAAGTACAAAAGGTACCAATTGCAAGTACCATTTATTAGTTTATAAATATCAAAATGCTCTATGCTAATAAAGTACAAAAGGTACCAATTGCAAGTACCATTTATTAGTTTATAAATATCAAAATGCTCTATGCTAATAAAGTACAAAAGGTACCAATTGCAAGTACCATTTATTAGTTTATAAATATCAAAATGCTCTATGCTAGTAAAATATAAAAGGTACCAATTGCAAGTACCATTTATTAGTTTATAAATATCAAAATGCTCTATGCTAATAAAGTACGAGATATACCATTTATAGGTACCATAAATAAATTTATTAATGCTAAAATATTCTATTGTAATAGTTAAGAAATTGTTGCAATAAATAATAAATAAATAAATAAATAACCATAAAGTTTACAAATACAATAAATTAAAGTTCAGTGGAAAAACTGTCAATTATTTGAGAAAAGTATGAAGTATTCATTGAATAATGTATTGAATGCGCTAAAATATTTGCGCAAATGTCTGTCTTATAAATTATTTATTCATTTTTTCATTGAAAAGAATGCAAGCAAACATTGTAAATTCGCCGTAAAAAAAAAAAAAAAAAAAAAAAAACTAATAATATAAAGTGAAAAATGTTGAACTATTTGAAATGATTTGAAAAGTGATGTTGTTGTGATCACATAAACTTTGACCTGATATGCAACGGAGATGAATTTACATGATGACCTAATTTGTTTCAAAATTTTCTTTTTTTTTTTTTTTAGCATTCAAAAATTTGATTCACATTTGATTGTTTAAAAAATCGTTTTGTTTTTGTTTTTGTTTTTTTTCAAAATATAAAAATTGAACGAATTATTAAAAGAAAAAGAAAAGACAAAAAAAAAAAAACTATGAAAATTTTAAATAAAATTTTTAAAAAATAGATAAGCAATGATATTATAATTTTAAATTATGCAATAAAATTAATTTCTTACTGGAAAAAATGAATTATTATCACATTGTTCTATTTTATCAGTTTTTTTTTTTGTTAAGATGCAAATGAATTTGATTTATTTTATAGTACAATTTAGTATTTTTTAGTTTTTTTTTTTTTTTTTTTTTTTCAACTATTAGAAATAATTAAAATTTTTTTAAGTATTTAAAAACAAAGTATAAATTTCAATTAGTATTTGCAACAATGATAACTGTTAATCATAACTGATAATTGTACTTTTTTTTTTTAACATTTCCACTATTATTTCAAATATTTATGGTATCTTTTTTTAAAAAAATAAAAATTTTAAAAATTCAATTTTTTTTTTTTGTAGAAAAAAAGAACTCAGTGAAGTATTATTATTTATAATAAATTATCTTTTGAAGATTATTTCAAAATGAAAAAAATTAAAGAAAAAGAAAAAAGTGACAAGAAATGAAATAATTAAAAATGAACAGAACGTTGTTCAAATATCCCGCATAAATCTATTTTTTTTTTTTTTTTTTGATATTTTCCGTATTCTTTCGGTGATTTCATAAATTGATTTTAAAATTTGTAAAATGCTTTCAACTATGATTTAAAAAAAAAAAAATGAATAGTTTTTCTCAAATTGGAAAACTAAAATTTATGAGGTTCGCAATAATAATTATTATTGCATTTAAAAATGCATAAGAAATGAACGAAGAAGATATTTTTGTATGAATTGAATTTTCCTCTATTAAATTTCTTGTTTTTAAATTTTAAAAAGGAAATGAAAAAAAAAAAAAAAAAAAAAAAAGGGAAAAACAGTGATACGAAAGAAATTTCTGGAAAAGAGAATAAATTTTTCTTCTACAAACAATATATGAATTTAATTTATGCTCAATTTTAAAAACTTTTGACATATTTGATAAATTTAAAAATCAAAATCAAACTTAAAACATTAACAATTGAAGATAATTATCATTTAAAACAGAAAAAAGAAATGATTAGATTTTAAAAAAGAAATTTTGATAACATCAAGTATTAGAGTAATAAAATAATCAATCATATATTTTTCATAAGAAATAAAAAGTAAATATTATTTTTTTTTTTTTTTTTTGTTTTTTAAATTTATTGTAGAAAAGAAATAGTATAATAATCAATAATTCAACATTTTTTTTTTTTAATATTTTCAGAAAATTTTACATCTCTTAAAATACTAATCAATGCGTACACTTAAATAATTTTTTAATTTTAATCCTCAAAAAAGAAAAATAAATAAATAAATAATAAAAAAAAAGAAAATTGTAAATGAAAAAGTGAAAAAAAAAAAGTTAAAAATGGACAGTAATTTTAGTAATAGTAAATTGTTAAAAACGAATTTAAATTTATTGAATGAAATAAAATGAATTAGTAACAAATTTTTATTATTCTTTTCTGTGTGCATTTAAATTTAATGTTTAAAATGTTGAAAATATTGTGACAAATTAATGACAAAGTAATATTCTCTCAAATGAAATGAAAAAAAAAAAGAGTGCAAATTTGTTATTTGACAAATATTTGGCGAAGAAATCATTTTTAGAAAAGTGAAAATGAATGAATGTTATCACAATTTCAACATCAATAAAGGAATGAATGCATAAATGTTTGCATGCATGCATGCATGCATGCATACATATATATCTTATCTCATGTGCATAGCATGCATATTATGTTTGCAATGATTTTAAAATATTTACTAATTAATATTCGAGATGAAATTATAATTAAAATTAATAAATTATGATTAAATTAGATTAAAACTAAAATTATGATTAAAATTTAAAAAAAAAAAAATCATGAAATACACTTACCGATTCACAATCGGATTTTACAATCGGAAAATCGATCATCGTAAGAGTTATTAGAAAGACTTAAAAATTTACAAATCAATTTAATTTTCCGATTAGTTCTAAATAAATATTAGAAAAATGCATAATCGATTATTAAAAAAAAAGAAAAAAACATAAATTTTTTAAGTCTCTGATAAGTCTTATCATTTGAATGATTAAATTAGAATATTTTTACATGATAATGCGTACAATTAGTTAATAATTGCAGTTAAATTTTATAATTTCTATCAAAAAGTATTTCAATTGAAATTAATTATTTTCTTTAAATTGCAACTTTATCTATCTTTCTGTTAAATTATAATTTATTTAAAAAATTTTTCTTTCAAATTTAATCATGCATTTTCACTTTTGCAACTTACTTGCAAAAAAAAAAATTATCATATTAACTAATGTTTTAAAATTTTGTTTTATAGCCAATCAAAAATTTAAATTATGAAATGAAGAAGTGGTAGATGCAACTAATTGGAATACTGGAATACGATTAATGAATATTGGAATTAAATTGAAATTCAGTTTATTTTGAACTTAGAAAAAAGCAAATCTGAAGTATAAATATACTTTATAAAATGAGTGCAAAAGAATCGAAATTTTTTTTCTCTTTCAAAGAAAAACTTAAGAGAAAAAAAGGAAACAAATAAAAAACAATAATAATAGTAATACTAATAAAAGCAATAATTATAGTAATAATAATAATAATAATAATAATAAAGTAAGACATCTATTGTTGTTTTTTATTCGAAAAAAAAAAGTGTAAAAAAAATTAAAATTTTTTTTTTTATCCTAAAATAGTC